TATCTTTTCTTCTTGGAGTTTCAGGCCAGGTACGCCCTGATATTTTTTATGAGTTGTCTATTATGTTGTGGAACTGCGAACAAAGTAGTACTATGAGCAATAAAACAAGGTTACTTAAACTCTTGGAAATGTGAAAGGTCAGCAAAAAGCAGCTTTCCGTTTTTTCTATTTTTGTTTCCGCTATTTCCCGCTCTTTCTGATCAAACTTTCCGCTTTTCTGACCTGATCAGGTGGCAACCCTGATTGTTTACCAATTTTTCCAAAAACAAATGCAAATAAAACAAGTAATACACGTTTTTTAATTATTTTATTTATATTTTATCGAATTTAAATATTTTTATTATAAAGCTTCATCAATAATAAATACAAATGAAGGAGGAACCACAAAAAAAGGTGAACTTTTTCATGATTTACAAGATCTTCTTTTTGATCAATCGACAGGACAAAAGATTTCGTCAACTAAAACGTATAAATATTAAATAAATTTTGTTGTTTTAAACTAAAATATATGTTCATTTTAAGTTCATTTCAAACAATAGGCTCAAATCAAAATAAAATTCCATTAAATGAAATAAAAAGTTCTTCATCATTAAAATCTTTAGAAACTGAATATGTATTTCCAATAATATCTCTTGAATCAATTCGTCCTTCATCCGTTAATCCATCGATAAATATAAAATTAATTCATCAAACAGGTGTTCATTGTGTTCTTCATATTGCTCGTGATTCTCCACGTCCAGATGTCATTGTTAGTGTATTAACTATTACTAATACAAATACTTCAGATGCAATTAATAATTTTCATTTTCAAGCAGCTGTACCTAAAGTAAAGATTTTTATTTTGTCGATCGATTAAAATACTTTAATTTTTGAATATTTTTCTAGAATATGCGAATTAAATTACAAAATCCATCAACAAGTGATTTGCCTGTATACAATCCAATATTACCACCACAAGCTATTACACAAATTTTAATTGTATCAAATCCAAATAAAGTTAGTTGATGATTGTTATCTTTAGATTCATCGTTTATTTTTTTATTTTTCTATCTTCTGTAGGAACCAGTTCGACTCAATTATAAATTAAGTTATTATTTATCAGGCGAACAAATAAATGAATCGGGTGAAATAGACAATGGATTTCCTAGTTCGATTGATCTTATTTAAACTTTTATTTTATTTATAAAAAAAAGTCAATGAATATATTCAATCTTTATCATTGTCAGTAAGCGTCTAAAAAATTTTATGATTAAACGGACTATTATTAAAATGAGCTCTTCCTTCGTCACCTTCTATGTCCTCTTGAATTATTTCAACATTACCGTCGAATATTTATCGTTTTCTTTGTTTTCTATCATCGATATAATTATATAACGATGAAAAAAGGAAGAATCATTTCTATCAATACCGAATATCTACGTTAATTATCACTTATGATTATCATTGATGAATAAAGCAAGAAACATTACTGAAAGGAAAGAAATAAAAGTACAAATTAGTCAAATTTTAGTTTTGTGTTCCACTCAGCTTTCTGTCACTAAAATCTCTTTTAATATTAGTTTTTGAATGAAGATTCTATTTGACTAAATTAAATTTATCAATTTTGACCATTTACGTTTCGTAATAATTTTCTAACACATCTTGTATACCCAAAAATTAAAAAATTAAAAAAAAGTCAGAGAAAAGAAACAAGATTTTACTTTTATATGTTGTATTAATGATGAAATAATAGTTTCTAATAAAAATATCGAAATTTAATCTTTGAATTTTATAAAAGAGCCTTTTACTTCCCCACAACCTTTGAATTGGAATATTTGTAATTAGTTACTTTTGTTAATTATAAAAATGAATGAAAACTTGATTTTCTACAATCACGTTTTGGAAGACTTTTTGAAATTGACTTTTTCCGTTTTATTTTAATATACAATAAAACAATACCTACATTTTTCTGCATGCCAAAACAACAAAGTTAGTCTTGATGATTAAGTTTTTTTCATTTTTCAAGAATTCTTAAGATACAAGAACGTTTTTGGCCTCGACATACGTATAAAGCATGTAATCAATTGTAGAATGGGTTGATAACCTAATGTGTTCGAATCTTGGAGCCATCATCTATAGAATGACCTTGGACAAGTCACTAACGGTTAATTGTCTCGGACCACCCATTCAATAGCACACTGACAATCTGATCGGCATATACTAAAAAAGACCTTGTGACTAGTAATAGTTGTAGGAAAATATCGAGCTAATAAAACTGTCCTTGGACAGCACCCTTTACTGAATGGTAGCCGAAAGCCAAGGATATTCTTCTTCTTCTTCTTCTTCTTCTTGATAACCTAATGGAAAATGTTGATCGTGCTGATATTCAATATTTACATTCGGTTTTAGAGTATTTTTAAAATCGATCAATTTGTTTTATTTTTTTATTCAACTATGATATTACTGTAAACTTATATTTTGGCCTCTTCTAATTTCAAGGAGTTTTCTTGAACTTTTCATTGATAGATATTAGCTAATAAAATTTGATCGATTATAAAAATTCAAAAGAATCTTGCTAATAAAAACCAATGTCAAATTTTTAAATTATTTGCTAAGAGATGTTGTATCTACTCGAAAGAAAATGAGTTCTCGTTGAAAAATGTTTCATTATGCTAAGTAAAACATATACATAATTTCTAATGAAATCGATAGAAAACCAGAAATTACCACTGACTGACTGACGGAATTGTATAGATGACACACTTTCTCAAAGATTCATTTTTGTATTTAACACATGATTGTAAGTAGTTGATTCTTTTACGAGGAAACGTTACGATAGTAAACTATTTTGCTCTGCTCTCATGATTGTTTTTAATAAATCCAAGTTTCTTAACGATGAGAGAGAAAAATACCAAGTTAAACTGCTTTAAGACATTATCAAATATTTCTTCATTTAATCTTATTCTTCTTCTGTTTAGCATCACCATATCTTCTCTCGTTATTAAATTTACTTCTATTTGTCTCCATCATCTCTCATATTCTCTTTTTGTACCTTCCTAATCGCTCCTCCAAATGTCTGATACAGAAAAAGATAAAACGGTGAAATAAAGAGATCGAAACTTAATATAACATTTGTTGATTGATCAATGAATCATTGAAAGAAATAACGCTTGAAATAATATTTTATCTTAACGTTTTTTACACCACAAGTATAATAAAATCATGTTGAGGACCAGTGCTAAGATACCAATTGTCGCACCACGGACCACCCATGGCAACCATGTTGCTTTATCTGCAAAGTGCCACTTTATGAAGTCTTGGAGAGTACCTATTATCATAGAAACCAGACTCATTGCAACCACCATTAAAAGATTGACTAAAAAGAAGAATGTATTTAACATTTTTCAAAGGCTCTAATAGAATTTAAAATCATTGTAAAGGTCAAGAGAAAATTTGAATTTAATTGTGTCAAACCTTCAGAACAATAGCCATTATTGATAATATCAAATTCACTCTATTCTAGTTATGAGTGAAGAGTTAGATTTGAACTCGTTTTTTGAAAAATGTCTAGTGAATTTGGAAGACACATTAGGAGATTAGTTTCCATTTGTTTAATTCATTAAATTACCTTAGATAGGATTACTTAGGTAATAATTACATTTATCAAATATGCTACACGTAGAATTATAATCGCATATTCTTTTATTAAATAATTAATCACATTAGACGAGCATTAAATTAATGAAGATCACTAGAAACTTTTGTATTATCTTGAACTTGTTATGTCTATTTATTTCCCTATTTCATTCATAAAATCCTTCGAACAATTTTCAATTTAATACTTGTGATTGACAGTTTATCCTTTACTTCGATAATACATGCAAGTAGCACTGTTTGATTTAGAGAATGTGCAAAGAGCATTTTTGATTAAAGATTGTTTCGATCAACAATAGTCTTGCACAATTCATTTTTAATTCAGTTTGCATCAGATGACTTACGACCAATTCTTGATGAAATCAATCTATATCTCATCGCATGTTATACTAGAACATAATTGACAGTTTTTTAAACCGACCAGGCAACTAAAAGCCAATTAGATGAAACGATTTCCAAAGTAAAGAAAAGTTTTTCCACAAAACTAATGTGAAAAAGCCTTAAGCATTGTTGAAAAGAATCAAGTTTGAAATTTATTAGAATGAAAATTTCCCTGAACATCCATGATAATAAAATACAGAAAGTCTCGTTATCTCGATGTTTTTACTTAATTTTATCAGAACGTTGAACAACTCTAAGCATAAGAATTATAAAATTCAAGCATTAGAATTAGTACTATTAAAATTCAATTACATTCATAAATAATTGCTTCATCTGGATTCAGACGGAATCATATAGAATAGGATCCTATTTGATTTTGTTGGAATTTGCCAGATTCTGATAGGATCCGATGAAATTCAGCTGTTGAATCAATCGCCCTGGTTCAGTTTGAAATAATTTTTGGCAAGTGAATACGCTAATCCATTTTGACTCAAGAATGTGTGCTTTCCAGCACTTCTTGTTCAATTTCTGCTTGCAAGCAAAATTCATCAAAATATAGTTCGACGAATATTCTTAAATTGATCAGGGTCGTTATCAAACAGCAGTTCATTTACAACAAATGAATAATGTCATTATCTCATTGAATTCATTTCTATTGTTCGTTTCCAACTACCGTAGAGGCCATTTAAAATACTTAGAGATACCGAATATGATGAAAACGAATATGAAAAAATGCATTATTAAAGGAATATGTTCATTATTAATCAGCTAACTTCAATTACTCTATAAAAGATCCAACTTTAGCTCGTTCCCAATAGTATTCATATTGGATAGTGTGAAACTCAGATTTCATTCAGCTGAATCTAATATGAGAGGATTTTGTAAGAACTCATCAGCGAAATTTCTAATAATATTCTTAGTTTTTTTTCATAGCTTTCAATCGAATTTTCGGCCGATGCTTTGACTTCCTATGACAATGTCAAAAAAAAATTTTTGGAAATCCCCATATAGGAGTATAGATATCGATTGGATGATGATTGAGAGCTGCCAACAAATACAATCTATATATTATATGTTATCAAGAATTGTTTTTTACTTGATTCGAGCACTTTATATACCATATGTCTCAAGTTCCATTTCGACAAGAAAAATTATCTTTTCTTTAAATAGCAAAATATATATTCTTGAACAATAACATATGCACTCTCTCGGAGGCATTTCCCTTTGTCCTATGACATTATATACTGTTCTTTTCACACTGAGAGAGGTTTGTCGACGTAGAATCGACGAGGAAAGAAAAAAGAAGACAAAATAAAAATTATTACAATGGATAAAAGTAGATATGAGAGAACACTACGAACTCGATATTGTTTTAGCTGCACAAAAAAAGGTTATTATCCACTCATCCTTTGAAGTTTTTCTAGAAAAAAAAGTAAAAATCGAAGCTTTTAGGCAATTCTCGACCTTTATTTTTATAAGTCTAAAACCTGACTGTCTTTACTTCGTAAAAAGATATGTACGTGAATCAATATAAGTATAAATCAACAGCATTGATAATTTAGCAAGATCAATGATATATAAGGGTATTGGACAGCTTTATTTTCAAAAAAATCGAGTCATGATGACCCCCACTAAATTAAATGACGTTCTTGATCGCAACTAAAAACTGTAAACAGCTGAGGCGATTAAATGACCATGGAGAAATCAACTTCGAAGCAGTCACACCAGATTTCATGCAGAGACAGGAGCATACGATATATTGCTCATACTATATGATAAATTGTTTATTACGAATAACCTATTCCACTTTGGTATGTACTTTAGGCTTTCCAGTTAACCATTGATATAAACGTTCGCTCATTGATATGTCTAGAAAATAGAAATACATATTGTTTGCTGTACACATATGTGATGTAGCACATTTACTGTCTGATGTTCTCACTAAAACTTTCTCAGCACATGATTCAGTAGAAACTGTTTGTTGTTAACAATAACCTAGTGTCCTTTTTATTCTTCCATGTTAAAACGAAATCATACTATATGTAGACAATCATGCATGTCAAGTTAAGGAGATGTTCAATCGATGGGGAAACGCCGGACTTGAAATATAAAATTACCCCAAAAGTAGGTCAAATTAGTTCGAAGTGGGTCCAATTACATGCTTGCAGAAGTTAAAAACACTACTGACGTAGTCCGAAATAAGAAAAACTAGCTCTGAAACCTTGATGTAACTTCAAGTAAATTTGGAGTCGAAAAATTCTTCGAATTTTACCACTGGAAGTAGCTCAAAATTACTTCAAGGTCAAAGTCCGCCATTTCCCCCTTGTGTTCAATACTCTTTGCACATTCTCTAAATCAAACAGTGCTACTTGCATGTATTATCGAAGTAAAGGATAAACTGTCAATCACAAGTATTAAATTGAAAATTGTTCGAAGGATTTTATGAATGAATTAGGGAAATCAATAGACATAACAAGTTCAAGATAATACAAAAGTTTCTAGTGATCTTCATTAATTAAATGCTCGTCTAATGTGATTAATTATTTAATAAAAGAATATGCGATTATAATTCTACGTGTAGCATATTTGATAAATGTAATTATTACCTACGTAATCCTATCTAAGGTAATTTAATGAATTAAACAAATGGAAACTAATCTCCTAATGTGTCTTCCAAATTCACTAGACACTTTTCAAAAAACGAGTTCAAATCTAACTCTTTACTCATAACTAGAATAGAGTGAATTTGATATTATCAATAATGGCTATTGTTCTGAAGGTTTGACACAATTAAATTCAAACTTTCTCTTGACCTTTACAATGATTTTAAATTCTATTAGAACCTTTGAAAAATCCTAAATATTTACAATGAAGCACTTACTTTTAACAAAGGGAAAAGTCTTGGCACAAATCGATACAGATGGTGTTGGTGTTGATGAAGCATCTGGTATTGGTATTGATGGAGCAGCTTGTATTGGTATTGATGAAGCAGCTTGTATTGGTATTGATGGAGCAGCTAGAAAGAAAAGTGTATTAAAAGATTTCGATCTCAAAATTTTTCAAAAACATATTGTTAGTAGGAAGCGGATGTATGATTTAGTGACTAAGCTCTCCTAGAGGTAGTACGATATCGAAATGGATATCAGGACAATTTCAAAAGCTGGCAAAGCCCATTGACTATTAACTACAATATACTCAGAAAAAAAATTTCAAAATTTTTACCGAATCTCATTTAATGCATTCGTTACTGATTTTGATCTCAGACTAACTGATTTCGTGTTACTTTATTTATTTTTCTCCTTTGATTTTTTAAACAGATATAAAACTTCTACTTTTCTTTATGGGATCTATTAGAGAATATGAAATAAATGTTTTCTAGAAGTTGGCTACATAAAAAATGGCACTATCTAAAGATAATTTTCATAACAGCCAATCTGTCGATTGATCGGTCACGTCAGTATATCGTTTAATCCTATCTGACTAATTGAACTGATAATAGTGCTGATCTCACCTGTAATACTGTTCTTTTAATCTAGAAGAAATTTAAGTATTACTTCGTGACATACGATTTTCTTTTTCAAGTTTAAAGTTTCATATCATTCTGCATTTTATTCCTTTTAATGAAACTCACGTGCTGGAAAAACTGGAACGTATATTATATCCGAATGCCATGTGCCATCATGAGGAGGTTTAAAATTGTCGTTCACAAGTTCGACACTGAAACAAAAGACACATTAAGTAGACTAAAATTCTCAAGAAAATCGTGGTAACTACGATGAAAATCAATTTTGTCTTTTAAATAGATGATAGGTATTCATGTTCAGTTTCAATACTAAAACATATACAATCTTTATCGAGAACAGTAACGCATTAGAGTTAATAGTTATATTTTTTTTGGGCAAGATATTTCTGCTATACTACATACCAAACTTCTCATTGCGTTCTGATAAATCTACTCTTCTACAAACAATCCATATTTTTCGAATACTTTTCTCATATAAAATCACAGTTGGGCAAAAATGACTTATCATCATGATCCTTGACTTTTTTTCAATAATAAATCTGAAAGGAGATATCCTTTTTTCCATGTTATAACGACACGTTACCGACATATACGCTGACCCAAGAAATAGCTCATGGATTAAAAAGATTCACTATTTTCTTCGCACCATTTATCAAGTTTTGCGACAACACGAGACACCGCTGTGTGTCTACCACGCTTTTACAAGATGTTACACCAGTTGAATATTCAACGTACTCAGATTGAAACGCTAGAAATCGTAATTTTCTTATGGGAAATTCAGAACAACTCAATAGCAGTTTTTTGTTGATATATATAAGATCCTAAGTTATCATTGTTTTAACGAGATACGTTTGGTTTTATAAATTTGCATATAGTTCAAGCAGAGTTAAGACAAATGCGATGATATTTCTGTTTATAAAACTATTCCTCTGAAAATTTGATATTTTTTAATTCGAGAAAGACTGATGGTGTTGTCAGTTAAATGATTAATGTGACTAATATAAGTTGTAGTTCTTCTTCAGTTCTATTTATTTTTATAAATGAATCGTCGGATTCACCATGAGTAATTTAATCCAATTCCGTCTATAAATTCGTAGTTATTATGTAAAGGCAACGCATTTAAACTAAAATACTTAGGTTGTTCAGGAAAAAAGGTTGCTTTAAATAATTGGCTCTGAATACGAGTTATTCAATTCAGTTTTGAAATGTTTCACATCTAAACAAGTGTATACAGACAATGGTGTCAGAATGCTGATTTATCTAGCAAATATGACTAAATTAAATGGGCACATCAATTAGGTCCGCAGCCGTGGGTCCCAAAAAAACGATTTTGAGAAGGAGCTTTTCCAAATTTACTGTCCTACAATAAAGATAACAACAGATCAAGTAAAGATCGAACGGAACCTGCACGAATATAATTGAGTTTTATATTGTAGCGTTGCTCTAAGTAAAAGTAGCCTGAGGATCCCATACTAATACGCTAAAAAACCTCAAACTAATTCAACTATTCGATGGCTTGACCTCTAGTACATGTGAAAGGTGACTTTTGGTAGGACCACAACATGAGTAGTAAATCTCGCCCGTAGAACGCAGATTTATTCGGGAGAGAGAAAGTGATAGACATGAAAAAGATATAATGAACAATCAAAAAGAAATACGACGATACTTTTCGTTACATTGTTTTTCGAAGCGATTTGATTAGACCGATATGCTTTTAACACAGGGTGGCTCAATCGGTCGATAAATGTTAATAGGTGTTTTTCACCGCATAAAAATGTAATTTTCTTCGTGAGATATAAATGAGAATGCATGCTTCGTAAAAACAGCACAAACGATGAGCCAACTTAGAAAAAATGTATCAAAGAATAACACAAAAAAAGATGAAATTCTTCATCTTGTAATTTTGTAGATTTGAAAATAAATAATGCATAATAAATGAACGTTTTAGGACAATGACTGTTTCATTGTGTATTCTTTCTCATATATGGAGAAGATTACTGTAAAGTGAAGTATCGCTGTTGTGTAGTATGTACACAGTCGTGTCTTGTGTGACCAAGAAAAAAAGAAATTTTGCTAAAAACAAGGATGAAGAAGGACGCTCCTTACAAAAAAAGGAAAACAGAAGGATCTCTGTAGGACCTGATCATTTGTTTAGAATAGATGAAATAAAAATTATAATTCAACATTCGCAAAAATTGAATCTAAAAATATATCTTATTATCCATTTCAAAATAAAAGAAGACTCAATACCTTTGGAACCATTTTTAATAGGAAACATATAGAAATATACGGATTCCATCGTTAAAAATTACATTGAACTGCGTATACCAGATTTTTATGAGAATTTTTCTCGTCATCTACCGTCAGTTTTACTAACAGCTAAACATGGGGTCATGTATAAGTTATAAGAGTTTACATTTCAGGAATATACTACAGTTATTCACCAACACATCTATCGATTATACGAAATGGATGGTGTTAGTTTTTCTCGAAAGTCTCTGACGATACGCTCAGAGTAATTTGGTATCAGCGATTCGATGCAGTTTCATCTTCTTTCGAATAGTGAAAAATGCAGCTCTTTATTTTGTTCTTATCGGCATTGATCCCATAAATATTTATTCCACTTTTATTTTGAAATGAATAATAGTTTTAAAAACAATCGAGAAAAGGTTGGACTGTCGACAAGTGTTCGGAGGAAAGTTCAAATCCAATTAGTTTTCTGTTAACTAGGATATGGCAAGGCTGACATAATGTTGTGACAAAATGCGATAAATATTGCGAACGAAATATTTCGTTATTCTGAGATGTAACTGACTTTTGTGTGAATGACGTGTGATATTGACATTGGTTAAATGTATTATTAAGAATGTAGAGCTATTTTGAAAATATCTCACAAAAGAAATTTCAAAGCATAATATATCGAAAGATATCATAAATATAAATACCGGCAGGCAAAAAGTTCGAATTTTAACATATGGATTTGTCACCGTATTTGTAAGGCATAGATAAGAACGCTATATGCATAACTTTTATTTAAAGTCACTCAATGTTTTAGTCTCTAGATTACTATCGAATTAATTATTAGTACTAATAATCATAGCGAAACAACATGCTTGTTCTCTCTTTCACATCATTACTGTCTCTTGTCATATTTTGTGAAACAATATATTAAAAAAACGTTGACGTATAGAAGGAGAGCCTTGAACCCTTTATCCTTTACCCAAAAGACCGTACTAATCATGACTATTATATTATTAGAGATTGACATATTCTGTAGAAACGCTCTAACCCATCATAGAGTGCAACAGATACAACTACGAAACCAAAGATCGACGCAGAATTATCGTGATAAACGATAAATTTTAAGACAAATGTGGTTTGTCGAACTTTCACACTCAATACGACACATAACGCTTAACATATTTTGCCATCGGGACACATAAATAGTGAGTGTCAATTCTTCAACTAAATTATATATTGGTCAATGTGTTTATGTATCATTCAAATAACTGCATCGTGTTTTACATTTAATCCCGAAGGAATTATTTGGACAGCCTTTGTATTAGAAGCGAATAGCGAATTCAACAGATGAATCTTAAGATTTCATTCAAATATATGAACCTCCATTGAGGGCCCTAAAAAAAGAAGACATAGCCTTTTAACAGCTAGTGTACAATCGATTAGTGATTATCAGAAGAAAATTATCATCATTTTGGTCGCTAATATTCGTCTGATAACGGGTATTTCACTGGATTTTAGAGTAATAAAATTGACCAAGGAGATTATAAAAGACAAAGGATTTCCATCTTATATTAAAAATCGAAAACACAAACAATACCTAGTAACTTACCAAGTCCAAACATTTGTATTTGGATCTTTATATTTTAAAATAGTTGCACCCGGAAAAATTGCTTTTATTGTTTCGTACGACACGCTGTTGTCTGCCCTCACTGCAACTTGCAGTACATCATTACTATCAATATCTTGAGCAACGTAAATGTTCATTGTCATTGAAAAATAACCTTAGATGGATAAAAAAGAAAAATCTAATAGAATTTTATCGAAAAACATTTGTCCACTTGGACATAAGAGTATCAAGGGACTTCTATTGTAAGAGCAGGACTATTATACGTGCAAGAAGTATGCATTCATATTTTTGCAGTTATCTATTTTTACTTTGTTTATTTCAACAAGAGAAAAATATTGATACTACTAATTTTCATCAAATTGATTATCACGTCTGCTCGTCTCTCTGAACGACAGAGCTGGTTTATTCACTTTGCGTTTTCTTCAGGCCAAGAAACACCAGAAAATACGTCAACTGTTTTATTTCTACTAATAGCATCGTTTTCTATTTGCTGCTCTTGCATTAAATGTCGCAATACTGTTAAATTCTGATCATTGAAGCTTGGCTGATTGGGGCTGCGAGTGAAAAATCTTCGATTCAGACTTACATTAACTACTCTCATCAAAACTATATCGTCATATGGTTATGCAGAAGTACTCAATATTCATATATGAAAGTGTTCAGCTAGATAGTATACCCCCAATTAGCTCTTTTTGTTGAATTTTAAATATATTTCGGATAATTAGCAGCTTTTTTATTAGTTATAGCACATGCGAACGATACAACAATAATGAGAGACTAAGGATTATTAGAATATAAAAAGGAAAATATCGAAATTATTACTGAGAATCGTTGTGGGGGAGAACAGTTCATTGTCACTGTGAAATATAATCTTGTTATGGTGAACAAACAGTTGGAGATAAAAACTGTAATCGAACGATATGGAACACAAGAGCTACTATCAAAAATTAAAACCAATGTGTTATATACTATACTATTGTTGAAGGAATTTAGACGGGAAGTTCATAATACTGATAAGATTACTAAAAATGTATGCATATATATTATGTGACTATATGAAACAAGTAACGTTTATCAACGCTTTTATTCACTTAGTCCTAGACTGACACTATAACGTTATGCATACAACAGACCTCTACAATTGAAGACTTTTCCGTGCCCTGTAGCGATTTTTCGCGCTCTTATTCTACCATAATCTGTGGATTTTATATCCTAAAATCGATTCTACTCTATGGGTTCCCTATTTTCGAAAACCGCAATATAATGTATTCTTCACTATGTTTCAGCATGTTTTATCGGTTCTCTATAGTAATCACATATTTAGAAAGCACTGCGAGAAAAAATCACATTTAATAATGTTGCCACACACGTTCTATATTATCTTTCCCAAAACTTTCAAGCTTAAACAGAAAATAAATTCACTGGTGATTGAACGTGTCAGTGCTCGCAAGAACGTTTTGGCAATTCATTAAGCTGCACATAGTTCAATGATCATGTATTTCATCTCCGGAATACACTTTTGCTGTTCTTTTTTTAACTGAATCAAATCTAGTCTAGTCAAAATTTTCTAAGAAACTGACGCATATATTCGAGTATCAATATAGATCGACAAAGATGTTAGCTGTAGAGATATATAGGATCAGTAATGATCACGATGATGGAGATTTAAATTGGAGTTGAAAATAAAACCTTAACAGAGCCTCGACCAAAATAGTTTTTACTAAAATGCTCATTTGACCTCAAGGATGTATGATGTTTCTAAGACTCAGTTTTCAACTGAATTGTTTTTCGTATATAATAGATCAGCTTACTGTTTTCATATGAATATCTTGTAATACAAAAAGAAATACGTATAATCAAACATGCTTGTGGCCAGTCATAATCTTAGCTACACTTGCAGCTGCTTGAATCGGTACTTCGACTTGGGCCTCAAAAAAATACTGGAGCTGGAAACTCAACTTTAAAGTAAAGTTTTCCATAGTTTTACTGAAATTATTTGATGGTTCATATGAATTAGTGCGCAGTTAAAAAACAGTAAGCCGAAAAGTACTAGTCATCGAAGGAATAAATCAAAACGAATGTTGAAGATTCCTTTCAGATTTCATATGAATAAATTGTGAAATAATTTTCTCTAGACTTGAATCCCAAAACTAAATTTATTGAGAACAAGACCAAGATAACTTCGCGGCGCACATCACACGTCAGAAACGTCTTTGAATTGCTTGTGAAAAAACTCCAAACGGCATCTCATGTAAAAAAAAAACTAAGGTAAATCATTAGATTATAATCCAGAGAATTTTGACTAAAAATCTATTCAGATAATACGCTTTTAATTGATAAAGAATCAAACCAACCGTAAATTAATTAGGACATATTATAATCGAACATCAATCAAACTGCACTACTCTTATACTTAAATAACTATATTATTATGGCTATAGACTAATGTATTAACCTATACATATATTCTTACAACTGAATTTTCCCAATTTTAACTTCTTCGCTATATTTTCATACATATTCTCAGAGAACTAAATTTTTACATCTAAACTCTTACGAATATATCCTTACAATTATAAACTAAAATCTATACCTTTAGAACTATACTCCTACACTTTAAATCGTAGACGTATCGTGTTAAACTTATGCTCCTAAAGTTATCTTTATAATATGATTATTATTCCTATACTCTAATACTTCTACACTCAGAAAGAAGGTTTCCTTTGTGTGAATCAATGATCTCACTCATATTTGATGTGGCTTTCCATATTTTATCTGAATTTCTTTGTTCACTCATCGAATTAATTATGAAAAACAGATAATACTAGCAGAAACATCTATGAATCAACAAAGATGTTTTTAATCATTCAGTGAGAAGTGAGAAACAGGTTTTTCACATCGCCAATTCAGCTGATAATTTGTAAAGAATACTAGGGCTAGTTAATGTTTAATTGCGAACTCGGGGAATGACAGAATAAGAACTATGAATTGAAGATGAAAAACATATTTATTGAGGAACTCACCAAATAAAATAGATGTATAAACCACGATAAATATTTTAGAAGATAAGATTTAAACCGGCGCAACTCTAAAGATGAAAAATAGGTTGATATCACAAACAAAATGATTAAGTATCCTAAAAATAAATAGTGTATATATTCAATTCGTGAATATATAGAATAATAAGTTCTATCAATTTAAAAATCTGAAACAAAAATGGTGCTGAAATGTGTAACAATTCAATACAACAAACAAACAAACAATTAAATGGAGAAGTAACAGGCCAGTTTGCAAAAATAACCTATCTAAAATAAAAATGCAATGATCAGAACAAACGCGTTTTATTGAAAAATACAATTGCCAAAACACTAACAGTCCACGTATATTGAGTACAACTAGAAAACTAGTGCTTCAACGAGAACAATTTAAACTGAATTAAGGAATACGATTGGATAGTTCTTCAGATCAACTTCATTGTCGCGATGAACCAATCGGGGAAAAGCGCCATATATATATATTAATTATGCCACTATTACGTCCATGCAGTGTTTCTAATAGAAATCTGAAGTAAAATGTTTTCGTACATTTTGTTTATGTGAAAAACGTGTATCTTCACCCTTTGATTTTATAAACAAAGTGTATCAAAGTGTAAATAAACGAAAAGAGTTCAGATAGTCTAGAAAGATAATAAGAAAAATTCTTTTTTATCTGTTTCATAGAGAAAGAAAGTCACATAAATTATAAGCAACCAAACAAGAGCATTACTAAGCGTTGCTATTTTTATCCAATATTATCACATTCAGTTGAATACTTCTCATTCATAGCATATACGGTTTTTGATGAATTAATAAATACATTTTTATGTAGAATTTCGACCTCACAATGTGAGGTCTGTTGATACAGCAACCCAGGTCAATGGTTCGGGAGGACTGATACCGTAGGAGCTGGCCGGAAAGATGCGGAAAAATCACCGTATCTGGCTGGACAGCACGGAAAAGTGGAAGCAGTATTCTGGTTGGAAGTTACCGGATTTTTCCCTGTGGATTCTGGTCAGTTTTCTGTGCTTTCCAGCTGTGAGTTGACTGGAATCTACAGCAAAAAAGCCCGGTAATTTTCGACCGGAATACTGCTTTCACTTTCCAGCGCTTTTCGACCGTTTCCCGTCGTACCTCCACGACCTGGAAAGGGATGATCACGATAGCAGTAATTTAATTCCGTTCCAACAGACAAAGATTTAGCGAAATGCGTTTTCGTGATCTAACATCAAAGTGTTATTTTCTTTTTCAAAGTGTACGCCTTACATTTTTGTTTTCCGCGCAACGTGTAAATCAGAGTGTATTTCGGAAACAGCAGGTGTTCCGGACATTTTGCTCTTGCTGTGTACACTTGCTGTTAGAAACACTGCGTCCATGCACATGCATATCACTGCCAACTGGGTTTAACCATCGAATTTGAACGCCATCTGTCAAAGAAAATTTTCTTTATAGATTGTATAAATGTACTGAAAAAGAAAATTTGTTTGAAACACAGTTTATAGTATTAATAAGAGTCTGTTATTTTTTCAAATATGTTTGGCTGTTGTTATGAGCCATTCTCTTCACAGTGACATTCTCTATAGATAAATAAATGAATTATTACTGTTGATTCATTAGTCACGAAACGTGACAGCCACATAGCGCCTAGTCAGTGGACAAATAAGGATGAATCATCGAATCAATAGCAAATTTCGAACACACTAATGCACTTAGTACTGCATTATCGCTGCCAGTTTTTAAAAGGGTTTTATTGATATCATTTTGTTCCTAAAAAAGAGCTGAATCCTCTCGTGTATTTAGATTTTTCGACCTTCGAGCCGTTTCCGAGAAAATCGAGTTTCCTGTGGACCAATCGTGCGTTTAAACACTCAACCAATCAGTAATGTTTTTATAGCGCCATTAATTATTTATGCTTTCTGTGACCATTGCAATGGTCGACGATCTTGACTTCGATCTGTCCAGATTCTTGTTTTTCTTGAATATCAGACAAGATTCTTTTGCCATTCCTTCTGTACAAGATTCTTGTCTGAAAAAACAGATCTCGACTTTCTGGCAAGATTCGTGTAGATACAATCTTGGCTGGCGAGGCAAGAAATGTCTCGCCACCCAGGTCGAACGACACGGTCCGTTTACTGGAATCAGTTTTACGGACCGTATCTCTATTGTAAAATAGCCGTAAGTAGCCGTATTTTCACAATGTACGGTTCATACTACGTGTCTTTACTGAACACAGTAATACCAAATCGTTTACGGTGAAAATATGACTACTTACAGCTATTTTACAATAGAGATACCGTCCGTAAAACTGATTCCAGTAAACGGACCGTAACGGAGTTCCGTTTTGATCGACCTGGGCAGGCAAGATTCTTGTGTTCTTGTCTGATTCTTGTTTTCTTACAATTCTTGCCATTTTTGACAAAAATCTTGCATTACAAATGAATTTCATTTAGGCATCCATACGGTTGCCTCCTTTCGGTCCTATTTTATTATAATTTCAAATTAAAAAAAAAATACAAAAAATTACATTACATATGCACGGAAATATACAATATGTTCATAACCCGCACAAAAAAATTTAAAAAAAAACGAAAAAAACTTGAATAAAACTGTCTATTCAAAAAATATGTCTGTTATAATTCGTCCGCGTCATCTAGAAAAAAAAGATGTAATGTTGGAACTTACTGTATATTCATAAGTATATATACATATAACATTACGTGATATTTTTCTTTAAGATATAATAAGAATCGTTGAAAGGAAAGGAAAAAAGATTCTTGTCTGAATTTCAAGAAATTTGAAATATCTTGTAATTCATTCAAGATTCAGACTTTTCTGATGAATCAGATAAGATTCGTCTCATCTTGAATTTCAGGCAAGATTCTTTGGGGCAGGAAAGAAACAAAATTCTTGTCTGAATTTCAAAAAGTCTTAAATATCTTGCCATTCTTGCTTGATTCTTATTTATCTGAGCAATCAGACAAGAATGTGTTTTTCTTGAGTAAAAGGCAAGAATCTTGTTTCTTTCCTGTCCGAAGAGTCTTGCCTGAACATTATGATTACAAAGAATCTTGACTGGTATTCAAGAAAAACAAGAATCTGGACAGATCGAAGTCAAGATCATCGACTAGTGTGATCATTCACGCGTGAACAAAGACAGTGATGCCATCGTCGGTGCTACACTGCTTGTTATACGATCGGCGAGAAAGAACAGCCAAGTCAAAATTAACAATTATTAACACTGTTGAACGAGAACAAAAAGTTTGTGAAGGATTTAAAAACCGACATGGCAAACCACTAAATCATTCATTATTTAATAAAGCTGTTCACACTTCATGTTACAAGCTCATTTTATTACATTTAAAACCGTTATCTAATACAAGTAGATCTGATCGATATGAATTTATTCCAGATGATAACCGCTGCATGCCGATGATAAAATATGAATGTTCGCCTGTTTGTTCATCTATTGTCACTGAACGAAACTCGCTTTATTCACATGAACAAGTTTGTGCTAATGAAGATTTAAATGTTGATCTACCAATACGTGACAATGGCTACTTTGTCTCATCACATGGTGACGTAAGATACATTATAATTTTTGCTTCATTAATATACATGTATTATTTATTTGATTTGTAGAATGATGATTTGATTTCATCAAACCAGAATACAAATTATTTTGATGGCTTCAATGATATATATTATGAACAACCGGTTACGGATCGATCGATCGAACGAAGATACATCTGTAACGCCTCCAGATATTAACTATTGCTCAACAATTGAAATTGATTTAACGTCCCCAGGAGAATGAATCCTAGCTTAGGATCCGATGAGTTCCGATCGGTTCCTATTGGAATCCGATGGAGCTCTTCGGAAGGCGCAAGGAAACTATCGGATTATCGTTGGATTCCTGGTTCCGGAATCGATATCGGATCCTAATATCGGAAACTAATAAAACCCGACAGTAACCGTCAATCGGAACCGGAATGCTTCGGATTTCATTGGTTCCGACAATCGGATATCATTGGAAATACGACTGTCAGATCCGACATTGATTCCTCAACCAGGAATCCAACGGGATTTCGTCGGATGGTAGGACCCCATAGAATCCAATGGGATTCGGTATCGGATTGATTCACCTGGGTCTTCACAATTAAATGATGTTAATGTCTTTCATACCGAAGCAATGGTTCGAAATGGAAAAATATTTAACATGGATTTGTCAACGAATATATCGGTAATTTAAGAAATACGAGCTATCGCATATTGTTGTTATTTTTCTAGAACGAACAGCCGACATATTTTACTGATAAAAATAATTCAAATAATGATGATGTGCATATATGTCCAGTAATCATTTTGACACCAGAGAGAAGTAAACCAATCGATCATAATGATCATGATGAAAGCAACAACTTACAACAAATTTCTATACATGTGTGTTCACTATATATTTTTTTGATTGAAATTATTCGACTAAGCATTTCTTTTAGCTTGATACTCCAACAACATCTTCATCGAATACTCCAACAATCAATTGTACAAGTGAAACATGTATTACATCCACTGATTCATGTCAACATAGTCGTTTTAGAAGAAAACGAAAAAACAATATGAGGAATCGTAAAATGGTAAAGCAAGTAAGATAAAAACTGTTGTTCGTCGCAAATGTTAACAAAACTTCCTGTTTTAGATACAATTTAGACAAAATCACAATGCCTCAAGTTCCCGTCGATCAGTTCGCATCAAATCAACATTTAAATCAGCTACACCCAATCCACAAACTACTGATATGTCTCGTCTTTTTTCAACTGCTTTCGATGAATTATGTAGTTGACTAATAGAACTATTTCATACCGGTGTTATTATATCTATTGTTGATATTAGCTGTGAGTATGAAACTATTTACAAACGGCGTAAAGAAACAGGTAAACCAAATATGTTTCGCACTTCATCAATTCAAAGTCGTCTCCTTCATAGATATGGTGGTATGCTGCATTTTGAGAAACATAGTAATAATGAGGTAAATATATTTGATATTAAATTTTTTCTAAGCAAGACGAAAAAAATATTTTAATAATCTGACAGCCTTTTATATATTTTAGGGTATTTTCGTTGGATTATCAGATCCTTCTGTTTATATACGACGTGCTATGTCAAAGCCTACTATCTGGCAACGACCAGATACTCCTGATCCTCATAGAAAAAAACAATTGTGTGAAAGATTCATGTATGTTATTGGAGAACTTCGAAACTCACTTAATAATAATCTTCATATTATTAGATCAATGAAGTATGATGAATCTTCATTAGTAAATTTCGATTCTGATTTATATTGGGCATGCATACCTCGTCTCTTAAAAATTTTTATCGGCATGCTGGCATTGAATGATGCAAGATTCTCGAAAATGAAAAAAGAATACGCATTCTATGATATTCAAACCAAGGATCTCTTTATAGATTCCATGTATAAAAAGGAAGGCGTCTGAGCTGTCGATGAAAACATTCATCGCAATTGTTTGAAAGTAACTATAAATTAAAATATATTTCTTTTTTCTGTTTTTTTTTATAAACAGGTAAAATATCGTCAACCCGATGTCTTTAAAAATATGTTTATTTGTCCTGGCGATTTCCATCTGATGAAAAATATGATGATTGTTGTATGGGATTTACTTAAAGGATCAGGCATTGAAGATGTATTGAAAAGTATCTACAAGAATGCAACATTTTCTTCAATTTTGGTGTAAGTTTACTTAAATAATTAATTAGTATGAAGAATGAATATTTATTGTCTTCTTTCAATTTAGTGTACGTCATTTCAATAGAAGTTTAGGATGCTGCAAGCGTTTGCATACAGCACTGCATATGTTGTGTATTGAAGCGTTTTCCCACCAAACGTCGATATCATCATCAATCACTGATTGTTTGAATACTTTAAAGTCGGTGATACTACAGATACCATCGGAATATGCATCTGATGATATATTTCAAAAATGGTTTCCACAACTACTTCAAACTGGTTAACAAAGTCATTTTCAAACTTATGTTCATGCTTGGGCTTTCAATTTCAGTAGAACAAATTCTACTTCTCGTTTATGGTACTTTATACTTCATCGAATTCTCCTGCCTATTCCTCAATTATATATGGCTATACGTAGATGTAATTTTGACGCAAGAAATGCTGCTTCAACAATCTGGGTAAGATTATTTTTTCGCTTATATATCTTTATTTTTTTTACACTTCTTATTTAGAAAACACCATTATCTCCAATTAAATCAAGAACTCGAGCAACAAATAGGCCTAGGAAGAACTCTGGGATGAAACAAAAATACAACTGAAACAACGCCTGATTTTTTTTCTTTATTTTTTGTATTAATTTTGTGTTATTCATATATCTATTTATTTATTCATTGTAGTTTTGCTTGTTAATTACAAAAAATGATTTTATAAAATAAATATAAGGATGACAAGGACCATCGTAACTGAAAAATAATTTTAATTTCTGTAAAAATGGGCTAACAAGAGGGGATTATTGATCAGTGATTATACTGTATAGAAGGTGCATATGCGAATTGCTGTCCTATTGAATCAGCCAATGAGAATATTTGATGCCTGATTGGCCACAGTATTTTGGCTGTGTAGTATCGCTGCCAGTTTTTAAATGAAAAATAATATCACAGTTCGACTCAGCATAATTTTCTCTATCGATTCAGGTACTTTAAAAGTTCGACCTTTTTAGTCGATTTTAGGGGGCGCCATAGGTAGTGCATTTGATATTGATTTGCTTACAACGTATTCTTTTTTTGCTCTGTCCGCTCACTAGCCCTTGATTTTCTCTTTCCTTCCTGAACTCGTTAATTTTCATTGGTTACATAGATACTGTTTTCTGAATGGTTAATCATAGTATTTGTCCGTATAAATAGGCGATCCTTTCTTCGAGAAAAAAAAGGGAAATTTTTTTGATTAACTGTGTGTTCACATCGTTTGAAGATAATCAATTATATCATGCCATCGTCGAAAAATCAAAATTATGTTGTCGAAAAAGTTATTGGAAAACGACTTCAAAAAGGTCGCACTCTATATTTGATCCAATGGAAAGGTATATTTTTTCCATGATTATTTAGAATATTATCTTAAGATTACATTGTATTCAGGTTATTCTGCAGAAGATAATACATGGGAGCCAGAAGAGAATGTTAAAAACTGTCGGGATCTTGTCAAAGCATTTGAAGCTGAACAAGAGAAAAAGGACAAATCGAAAATCGCCACTGAAAGTGAAAAAGAAGGCCAAACAAATATTAGATCAACTCGTTCGAGTCAATCGCCACGAAGAAAATCATCCAATAATAATCAACGGTCTACTCGTAGTAGTATTCGTAGTTTACCATCTCGTAAACGATTTACTAGTGATGATGATATCATTATTGATGATGAAAGTATTAATGTAAATGGGCATAATGAGAAAAAATCAAGACCATCGAAACGATCACGTCGCAGTACAACCGATAGTGAAGCAACATGTTCCGATGATAGTCACGATAGTGACATACTTGACTTCTTCACGCTTGATCATATTGTCGATGTTCGCCGAAACAAAAAAGAAAATAAAGTTGAATATAGTATTCAATTAAAAAGAAATAAAAAGCCAACATGGATAAATTCAAATCGATTAAGCGAAGATTATTCTCAAGAAGTTATTGATTACCTTGAAGAAAAATATATTTAAGAGTTGATTAAAACAGCAAAAACATAAAATACTATATAAATATGTATAATTTTCGTATCTCTCAGGATGTTGTTTTCTTTTTTTCTCTATATACTATATGTTCTATATATTATATTGTGATTTTGTGTATGAGTATGAGTATATATAAATAGAGATCTGTATATGCATATGAACGCATCTTCTATTAAAGGCATATTGCCATCATCTTTATGTACTCCGTTTATTTTGTGTCCCAGATTAGTCAAACCTTTTTTTGTTCTTGTGTGCTCAAGGAGTGTTTAACCATTGAAATATAGACATAGCTGATTTAATTGTTGTCAAATATTCGAATTTGTTTTTCAATAGAGTGTTACTGAATATGATGAAAATTATCAGGTAAGGAAAAAAAGATATTTCGCAAACATGAGAAAATTAAATGTTTTCATTAAAGGCAGAAACATGAATTAAAACAAAATATAAATAAAAATGACAGAAAGAATAATTAGTTTCGATTTAAATTCTATCATGATGATAATATTTATTACTGTAAAATGTGTGCAAGACGTTGTATTTCGTTTCAATAAAATGATTTCCTTATGAATTAGATCTGATTGATGGATGCAGTTTTTTTTGTATAAATAGATAAAGTAAACAAAGAGTAGAACAAGAATTGAATATCGAAAATTGACTTTCTCGGGTGGGAGAATTTTTATCGCCTCATTAATTATAAGATCAGCAACAAACTGACTAGAATGTGTGAATATAAACTTCAACTTTTCGAATAGCATATCAATCGATGTTAGTTTACATAGGAACTACTGATAATGATGAAAGCAGTACACATTAGCATAAATGTATGGAAGGGAAACACGAAACTTGATTGTTTATGAATGTTTTCTTTTGATCTTCTATCTTAAATTTTCGAGGACATTTTCTTACATTTAGTTGAAGTATCAAGATGTCTAACACGATAAAATTCATTTTTTGACATTAAGTCTTCTTACTATTATGTAAAATAGCACTTTTATCTTGAAAGAACCAGCTTTGAAGAGATATTGACGATATTTAACCCTTCATTTTGCTTTCTACACTTAGGTGAGAATTTTAAATCAAAAACACATTTATGTTATACAATTTAACACGTTCATTTATATTTGAAGCATATGAAGGTCTGTCCAGAATTTAGTGTTGACGAATGAACTATTTTCGACTGCTCATTATTACATTTGTCTCGCATAACGGATACCAATGTAGTTTAAATTCTTGCCATAATCTCTTCACTATTTTGAGTACTAAATACTTTAAAATAGCTCTTGGAGATTTCCTTGAAAATAAAAGTATTTGTAACGTTTTCATGTTGTGTGATCAGACAAAAATAGTAGACGACTGAATGTCAAATATGGAGTAACTATCAAGTTCACCAGTTTTGTAGAACTTAAATTTGACGTATTTTAAGTATGATAGACATTTTTCTCTTAGACAAAAATAAGAATCAGCATAATCTTGTTTAACAAAATAACAACAAAATAAAGAACTAACTATGAACCAGAAATAACAGACAGAAACCATGATGAAAAAAAGACGCTAATAATTATCTGCACTCCGCATTGTTAACAATCATGTTTATAACCGGTTTGAACACAAAGAACACATTAGAGACGAGAAATGTTTATCATTCCATCTCTTCAGTTTTGTCATTGTCACCTAGAAAATCCATAAAATCATTAAATAAAAAATGAAGTTTGAATACATTTTGATTTTATCTATCCAAATATTTCACAGAAAGATGGATTACGAATATTTTCATCAAACTTAACGTTCAAAGATTCTTTCTCAAAACTTCGTCTTCCTATCGGTTCTAATAAAGTTTAGTTATCTCGTGAAACACTCTATGCGTATTCTTTTGATTTCTTTAAATTATACCTTGATCATCATGTTGGCCACGTCTACGACTAGTGAAATGTGATCCTCGTAGCTCTTGATTTGATGATGCAAAATGAGCATTATATCCATATGGATCATCGTCATCATTATGTTCATTTCCATTTCCATTTCCATTTCCATTTTGATTGTTTTCATCTTCTTCTCCATAATCAATATCTATGTATCAAGTAATAATCTAGATTATTTATAGATAGAATCATTGAGGCACTTACCGGAGCCGACTTCATCATCTTCAACCATATCATCAAGTGGATCAGGATGAAGTGCTTGACATTCAGCAATATTTTGATAAGCAATTTTAAGATCTTCAGATGTAGCCATTACAAATCGATAATTAACAGTACGAATACTATCATATTCAACTGGTGAGTCACTTCGTTGTTGATCACCATTATCTTGATGATTTTCTGAATCTTAATAAAAAATAAAGTAAAAAAATAAATTTTTCTTCATCAATAAAATTACTTTCATCATCTTCTTCGTCTTCTTTGGCTTTTTGAACAACTACAACTAGATGTTCTTCAGGATATTTCGGATCGTGTGTAACTATTCCATGCATAGTTAACGATGGATAATCAATTGAAATACCTGCCCGTTCAGTTTCATTTGATGTGACTGCCCATACTAATTGACTTCAAAAAAAGAAAAGAGAACAAGATTTAACATCCAAAAATTCAAAACAAAGAAATAAATGATCTACTTTTCAGATACACATAAATTGCCTTGTCCTAAATATTCATCTTCTAAATAAGCCTTCACTAATGAATATTGTTGCCGAATATATTCTGATGGGTATGTAATAGTATTTAAAATCGAAGGCATCTACAAAAAAAAAGCAAATTTCTATTGATGAAGACACCATAATAGTACACAAGTAGAAATGTACTACAATAATAAAAAGCAAGACAAAAACAAACGAAATATTTGTTAGAATATTCAAATGAATTAAATAATTCTGATAAAACCTATGGACGGAATTTCATGTCATTGTTTATCTGACCAACAAAGAGGATGACATTATTGTTTCTTTCTTATAGCCTGTCAATGAAAACCATTATTAGATGATGATGGTGATGGTGGTAATGCTTTCAGTTGTAATTGTGCAACTTGTTCGCGTAGAAGTGCTACTTCTTTTTGAAGCTAGAAAATTTAAAAAAAAAACATATTTTGATTGTATGGTATTTGTATTACGAAAAAAATTTAAAAAATTTATGTCCCTTCGGAAAAAATTAGAGCATTATTCGTACGATTAAACGATGTGCACGTCGTTTCAGATGTTAACATTAGCAATGCTTATGAAATCTCAAAGATTCTTAAGTCATATTTTGAAATTTATCGCGGCCTCTGAGTAGAATGTAATTTTTTTTAAATGGCGTCACCTATCATTAATCATGGCGCTACAAGTGCAGGTCGATACTATGAGGAATCTACATTCTACTGATATATATATATATATATAGTATTTTTAAAATTTTCTTCAAGCTATTTTTCGTAGTAATAATCATATTTCACACCAATTTTTCAAGACAGAATTCATAACGAAAGCAAAGGAAGACGGAGAAGTTCCAGCAAGAAAACACCGTCAATATTGTTGGAATATGGAAGTAGAACACCACACGGCAGGTTTCTACTAACTTCCGATAGGAATTGATAGTAAAGCGACGGAAACAACACAAATAATTTCCGATTAGCTATAGTGCTTTTATCTTCCAGAGTTTTCCTCTTAAATTCAGTGAAATGTTCCAGTCTGTGTCAGCACAACTTAATTATTTCCGATGTCTAGAATTATCTAATATGGTAATTAAAATTTTCTTTCTATAACTGGAAGGAATAAATCGTAACCGGAACAATGACTATGAGAAAATTTCATTACTGAAAAGTTAATCAAAAATAATGATGAAACAAAATATGATTATGTAGATGTTTGTCGTTTTTCATTATTAAACGCAATGTTTAGAGCACTCTTAAGTATGACTATTCTGGAGTGCTGAAATATTCGTAATTTATTCATCGCTCATCTAGATTGGACTTCCATTATATATGTTTTCTGTACCTGTAGAGAATGTAAAGGCCTGCATCGAAAATCGCTTGACTTTTGAAGAACAAAGAAGATCTAAACTTACTCGTGAATTAGTGTGACCCATATGTTCAATTTCTTTAGTCGATTCTGTTGCCTGAGTGAAAAACGCACGATTCGTATCAATCTAAAAGTAGAGATTGTGTTTTAACTTTTTTTTTACATTGCTAGAAGAGAATTGTTTCATTTACAGTTGTTCGTTGTCGATCAAGATCTGATTTAAGTGTTTGGTTTTCTGCTTGCAGTTGATCAACTCTCTTTTTCATTAATGCAATCATTTTCTCGAGTTCATAAGTCGATCGACCAGAATCTCCAATCTTTAAGATAACAACATAAACATATGAATATATAATTATTGTCGGAGAAAAAGAATAATAAAAAATTGTACTCGTCGCATATTGCCGCTCGACGTTGACCGAGGACTATCACCATTTCTTAAACTTTCATTTTCAGCTTTTAAAAATACATTTAGTTTTTGCAACTCTTCATTGCGTAATCGAACTCTAGATTACAATAAATATGATTGATCCTTGATTATATTTTAAAGATAGATTTTTAAAGATTTACTTGTTCAATTCATCTTTTAATTGTTGATTAAATTTAAGCAATTCTTTTTTATGAATATCTAAATCAGTTACTTGCTGCTGTAATGATTCAACTGTTCGTTTAGTTCGATCATCCTAAATAAATAGGAATAATCATTATTATTAAAAATATTTGATGAATTAGGTCTTAAATCTGAAGAATGAGAAATATTTTGCGACAACAAATTTGGTATTTAGTTGAATTTGAAGCTTCTTTTTTTGATCAGTTAAAGAATATATTATATAAGGAAATAGTATATGCTTCCTGAAATATAACAGAACATTTTTGATCATAGAAATCTCATAGGAATGAGAAGAAACTATCCTTGACACAAAAGTATTCATCTTTCAAATGATTGAGTCACAGAGAATACACTCAAGACACATACTTTTTGAGAAGTTCTAAGCGTGCGATAGATGCTAGCCGGAAAACGTCCTCCATAGACAAAGGATAAGCCTTGAGTAAATGCATCTGAAGTATATTCGATGCAAGTCAATTACCTTATTTTCGTCCAGAGGTCGTTCAGCTGTTTTTGTTTTACGAAGTTTGTCTTCGAGTAGACGAACTTGCCGTCGTAATGATTCAATTGTATCTTCGCCCTATGAATAGATTTATAAAATATTCTATATTTTCTTCAATAAAAATTCTACAACTTGGCCTTGTTGAAGTTGTTGACCAGTCATTCGCCGTTGAGCATTATCTGATAATGTTGCATTTTGTTGTTGAACTTTAGTTAATTTCTTTTCATTTTGTGCTATTATTAAAATAAACTATGATAGTTCTAAAGTAAAAAGATATATAAAATCTACCTAATTTTTCTCGAGCATCAGCTGCTTCGTCCATATGCCGTTGTGCTAGAGCTTTTTGTGTTTTTAATTCTCGTTTTAAATTTTGTATTTGTCTTTCACAATCATCAATTTTTTCTTGTAGCTGCCCCGTTTTATTTGTGATTAGTGCTTGTATAGAAAGATTTTGTTTATCTTCTTCATTCATAGCTTTTATATTTCCTTCAGCTATTCTAACCATATCACTACGAATATCAGCTAATGCACGCATGAATTCTTGCCGTTTGTCTTGTGGAAGATCGCGCAGATTTTCTCCAGATGTTGAAAGCGTTTTTGTTCCTTTGTTAGGTGATGGTTTTTGTACATGATCGAAATCATTCATTGTTGAACCAACTTTATTTTGTTGATCTTGCAGTTGTATACGATAATTTTCGATTTTATTATTAAGTTCTTCAACCATTTTTTCATAGCTAACTTTGGTACTAAAAGAAAAACAAAGAGCAAATATATTTTCAATATTCCACAGTATTATTTGGATCAGATATTTTATTTTTCTTTGACTTAAAGCATCAATTTATTGAAAGATTTCAACTGCTTACATCAACATGAATTTTTTCAGATAGAACATCTCTCTATTTAAAGATTTGAATTCATATTCTGAAAGCTCTGTTCAAGTAATCTTACGTAATAGCATTCGATTTTATATCATAACTACGCATAGTTGGATTGTTTTCTTAATCACAGAAAGGTCTATTGTCAAACATGATATTACCTTGTTTCTTACTAATTTGTATAATATCAAAACTAATCTTTTTTGATCTACTATTGAATAGAAAAATAGAAAAAAGAAAATTTTTGTTTACTGTTCTCGATCATGCTTGAATTGTTCCATTTTCTGTGTTAATCGTCCTTTCCATGTTTCAGCTTCACGACGTGCTTCTCGTAATTTTTCATTTAAATGTGCAATCGTATTTTCTTGTACAGCAGCATTTTCTTCAAGTTCACGTATATGAGCTACCTATTAACATACAAAATTATGAAGGAAAATTTCAAATAAGAACTCCATTAATAACCTCATAGGACGATGGTGCACCATGAAAATTTGCTGGATTTCCTCCTCGATCGACAAATTCTTTAAATCGAATAAAATCAAGATCACGTTTATTTTGTAATTGTTCATTAAGTATTTGAATTTCGTCTTCGTGTTGTCGTGTTTGTTTATTTATATCTTCGCGAGCTTCCTTAAGCATTTCTTGATACTTACGAATACTTTCTTCTTTTTGTATAATGCGAGCCTAGAAATAACAAATATATAAATAAACCAACAAACAAACAAACAATTAAATAATTTATATGATATACTTGTAGACTATCAATTGTTGATTGTGCTGCTCGAACAGCAGCTAAACGAGAAAAGTCATCAGGCCGTGTCATAACATCAGAAATAAGTTTATCTGAATCAAGAATAGTTGTTGTTGGTAAACGAACTCGAAGTTCATGAATAACTTTATCACGAGCTAATATAGCATTTTCCATTTCACGAACTTTTTCATTGTGTTCAGCAGTTTTCTAGAGAATGAAAAGTACAAAATAAATAAAATATAATAATAATTAATTTTACCTTTCCAACAAGTTGATTTTGTACTTTAGCTTCCATTAATAGATGTATATTTTCACGAATAATTCTCAAAGCTTGTTCTAATTGATGTGCTACAGGTAATGATGGATCAGGATAATTACCACTAGCTTCTTCAAACTGAATTGTACAAAACAAAAACCTTATTAAAAATAGAAAATGAAAATTAATTTCATGTTACTCGTTTTGCTGCATCAGCAATATCATTGTGTTCCTTTTCAAGTTGATCAATTTTTCTTTCCATTTCTAATTCTCGGTGTTCCCATATTAATTGTCGTTCTTCAATTTCCTATTTAATATGATTTAAATACTAGATTAGTTTTCAAGAAATTAAACAATAAATACCTTTTCAAATTTCACATTTTCTTCTTCAAGTTCAGTGACATTTATTTCAAGTTGATGTACTACTTTAGTGAGATGTAAATTCTATAGAACGAGAAAAAATAAAATCATTAGTTCATTCATATTCGAATTATTGTCAAATGTTGTTTTGTCATTAGTATAATCATCAATTATGTTTGACTTCAATGAGATATGTACAGCAATGTGATATTGAATTTTTCTCTTCGTACAAAATAATTAACTGGCGATTTTTGTACTATGGTGGTATGAATTGCAGTGTTAGATTAGAAATCATCAATAAAATTATACTTGTACTTTCTCATGTAAGTACAATGTCAAACTTTTGTACTTGAATGTAAAAAAAAATAAAAATATTTGATTTTGCCTATCGCATAGTTTTCATCATACACTTAAAATTTACGAATAAACTTAATCAGAAGTTTTTGAAATTCTACATAAAACTTACATCTGTTTCGAGTCGTTTGTTAAGTCGAATATGTCTTAATTCATTTAATTTAACTTTTTCCAATTTTTGTTGCCATTCAATCATTTTTTGTACACGTGCATTACCTTGTCCATCTTTAAGTGTGGCTATAAGTTCTTCAAGTGATTTATGTTTAAATTCATAGGATGCCATCTGCGTTTCCAAATCAAACTTCTGATCTGCTAATTTCTTCATCTCAAGATCTAGTTGTTTTTTACCATTACGTAAATCAACCATTGTTTTAGCGTATGATTCTTGTACACGTAATGGAAGTGCACCTGCATATTTATGTCGATAATCCTAAATACAATGGGGTATACGAGTATTCTTTAAAATAAAGTTAATCGAAGTTTACTTGTAAAGCTGTTCTTAAATATCGAATACGTTGCGTATATTCTTGTCGAATAAAAAATAGACTTTGTTCTTTTTCATCTAACTTTTGTTCAGCTCGAAGAAGTATTGCTTTTTGCTTAGCTAAATCATTATCTGATTGTAATTGTTTGCGTTTAGCAGTTGCTTCACTGATTTGTAAAGCAAGAATATGACGATGAAGTTTACCTAAATATAAACATGAAATTGCTCGCTCATAATGAGGGAAGGTTTCTAAGTAATAAATAAATTTGTAAATAAATCTCATCTCATCAGATTAGTCCTATTGATGTCAAAGAAATCTCATGTTGATGGGTCATAGTGTTTTTTTCCCATTGCCTATCTATATATTACTAAGAATTTTCAATATCATATTTCAGTGCCTTACAAGTTACAAATTGAAATATCACACAAATAGAATTTCAAAAAAGGACTCTGACAGAATGAAACTTTTAGATTTTCGGGTATTGCTTCTCCTGAAACAAAGATATATGAACAACATCCTAATCGGATTCTAGCAAGCAGATCCTATCAGAAGAAAAATTCGACACTTTAGAACCGTTCAAACGTGGCCCAATCATATGCTAACAAATTTTATGGAAAGGTGACCTTTCTGTGTCATAGGATTTTAATATTTGTCAGTTCGGAGATACGTTGACTAGTGACTAAGGTCATGTGCATAATTTTGAAACTCAAGAAAAACTCCGAATTGAAGATGATGTGCATGAATCTATGGCATCTTCGACAAAAACTTTAGTATAGCAGTTACTACTGAAGCTTCAATGGGACTTTTTTGATTCGATAAGATATATCCCAACATGACTTTATCACTTGGTGAATTCCACTCAGTAAAAATTTTAATTTACCAATTTCACTTTTGTCATCTGTTTTTGCTTGTAAATCGAGTAATTGAAGACGTAATGATTGAAATTCTTTTTCATCCAATACTTTCATATCATTAACAGCTCCGACTTGAAACGTTGCCACTTCAGATACTTCACGTAGGCGAGCTATATCTTGTTTAGCTTGAATTTCAGAACCTTCAAGTTCGGAAATTCGTCTAGAAAAAAACATTTGTGAAGAAAAAATGGAATTTTTCTCTAATGAAACCATACCGTTTGTCAGCATCAGATACTGTTCGTGGTACACTATATGCAAGTTCTTCACGTAATTCTCGTTCAGCACGTTGCATTTCAAGATTCATCCGAGTTAATTCACTAAATTTATGTTCTAATTCAAGATTTCGATCTTCCATTTGTCGCAATGTTACACGTTGTTGATCGTAAAGTTTTTGAGCATATTCAGCACGTTGTCGTTCATTGAGTTCTTTCATTTCAAGAACAGTTATTTTACGTGAGAGACTTCCAGGATTATCATCATTAATGGAACCCGTAGTACTAGTTCGAAGCATTGTCGTAGCATAACCTGTAAATAAATATAAATAGGAAATAAAATTTCTACATGGCAATTATTGTTTTTACCAGCATTAATTAAACCTTGATTTTTGAGATTTTCCATTGTTTCTTCTAATAGATGCATTTTTTCTTTATCGATTTGTAGTTGTCGTTTAAGAAATTCAACTTCATCTGTTAGTCGACGATTTGAGTCCTAGAAAAATTAGAATATAGTTTCGATCCAAGTCCTAAATAAACATCGAATGGCGATAAAAAGATCTTAAAATAGAACAAGGGAGTTTTCAAAGAAAAAAGTAAAATTCCGAACCAATCGAATCTCATTAGATGTGAGATTGAATTTTTTTCACAACTATATGTACACAAAATAATTTTATTTCAGCAGACTTTTAGATAAACAAAGAAACCCGTTGAGACAAGTTCGGAGAAAGTCACATAGGACTCTAACCATTAATTTTATGGCAAAGATTGGTATTTGGATTGCAGCTCTTTGAGCTAAAAAAATTATTTGAATTGTTTCGTTGTCAGAGAAGGAACATATCCGCAATAACTGTTGATAGAATTACTGATTGTTGGATTTCATTGAAAAATTTCGAACTCGTACTGAGGTTTTTTTAAAACAAGAATTGATATTACCGCTGAATTTTTTATTAGTATTTTTGATTGTACTAGTTATCAGTTGCTAGTAAACATAAATTCGGATAAACACTTAGCTCTAAGTTATTTAAACTTTTAGAAAACTCCCGTAAAAAAACCTTTAACCGTATGAAAAGATTGAGGCCAAATTCAAAAATTCTAACAATACTTACTGATAGTAAAGATGATTGTTCGGTTTGTTGAACAAATGTATGTTGCTGTTCAAGTAGATCTCGATACTTTTCAACAACATCTTCATATTTTCTATTGATTTTATCCAATTCAGTTTGATGTACACTTTCTTCAACTTGTTTTTGTAAATGTTTTATACGATAAGAAGCTGTATCTTTGTAACGTTGTAAATAGCCTAAACGTGTTTGAACAGCAACTTCCATATCAATAACTTCAGTACGTAATTTTGTATTATCCTATGAAATTTAGTTTTTTTGTGTAATTTTAAACAGAATAAGATAAAATGAAAATTTTCCATTTACCTTTCTTAATTTTGTTTCGATATCTTGATATGAAAGAATTTTTCTCGCTAGTGTTTTTTCATTAACACGTAAAACAGTTACTTTTCTTGTTACTTCAGCAATACGACGGCGAACTTCAGCATCATCTTGTTCCAATGTATTTAGAAGACGCTACAGATAAAAAAGTTAAAATTAAAACTAAAAGTTTGATTTCATTGTTTTACATCAAACTCTTGAAGTTTAACAAGATTCTTTTCAATTTCAGTTTGTAAATCACGTTTAACTTCATTTGTTTGATCACGTTCATGTGACCATTGTTGTTGTTTTTCATGAAAATCTTTATAAAGTAAACCTGTTTGATGTTTAATAACATTCACTTTTCGTCGATATTTATCAAGTCCTTCTTCGAGTTGTTTATTCATTTCACGTTGTGCTGTTACTTCCTAAATGATAACAAATTTCAAGTCAATAATTCATTTACGTTCGTGTTGAAAACAACAAATTCGAACGAGTATTTGTGAAATCAAATCTGATCCAACTAATTTATGCTATATGAAAATATCTTTTTGACTACATTGTTTATCAACAGGAACCATTGGACATATTCAGTTCTTCACTTTTATATCTCTGATATACAGTGAACTTGTCTATTCTCTTGATTAGGAAAAAGTATTAGCATAAAACATAACTGCTCAAAAACAAATGAATAATCTTCAAGTGTTGATTAGACCCATAACTCGGGAAACTATATAACTATATCGAGTCTAATTAAATAAAAGAACGGTTGATTTTCAATGCGACATCGAAAGTAAATGTTTGAAATAGTCGTTTCACGAATGGATACTACTTCATTATATGCAAGTGGCAAACAAAATAGATTAGTTCAATAGAACATATAAACTCATTGTCTAACTCATGTATTTCGAAAAGATTTAAGTGGCTTTAAAAAAACAACGGTAGCTGGTTACATATATATCTTCTCAATTCATAATTCTCAAATTGTAAGAAATAACTCGCACAATTATTTGATCGCTTATCAGAATACTTACAGCTAAAGCATCAACAAGATATTCATTGAGAGACGAGATGATTTCCCGACTTGATGGTGATAAACCATTAGGTAATTTAACTGATTGAAATGCAAGTGGAACAGCACCAGCTTCTTCGAATAATTTTAGATCACGCTGAAGTTTGTCATTCTAAATTAAGAAAACATAGATTCAGTTTTTTTTTGAAAAAAAATGTTTTTTGTACAAACTTTCTCAAGAGCTAATTTAAGATTAACATCAGATTTAGTCTTTTCATGTCTAGCATTGTACAATTCATCACGTATTTCAGCAATACGACCAAGTAATTTATCATTATCACTTTTAAGCATCATTACACCATCGTATCGGCCAGCAAGTGATTGAGTTTCGAGAACCTAAATTTACAAAAACAAGCAAGAGTAGCTATTTAATCCAAGAAAAACATCCGTAGATTTCTTTGCTTACTTGAAGCATCTTGTCTAAAGATGGACATTGTATAACATAAGATGATGATTGATCACCAGTATTTGATGATCGTTGAAAACGTTTTTGTTTTAATTGTTCATCAATTTCTTTTAGGCCTTGTTCAAGACCACGAATTTCAGTGATTAATGCACGATTTTCATTGGTTTTATCAAGAAGTTCACGGCGAAGTTGATCGACATTGGCATCAAAAGCTTTTAATTGTTGATCATAATCATTACGTGCTATCCGAATAGCATCGTCAGTAGTTGCACCACTCGGCCGTGATATACCATTATCATCAATCCATACAGAATCACCAGCAAGACCTAATTCAGCAGCACGTACACCTGCTTGCCGTGCTAATTGACGACAGTTTTGTTTTAATTTGAGTCGTTCCTCTTCAAGACGTTCGATCTAGGGAAAAAAAAACATCAAGAATATTCATTTAATTATTTTCATTGTTGGAAACAAATTATTTTCCTAATTCATTGAATAGCATTTCACATATGATCAAGACTTACTGTTAATGATGACAACAATTAAATTACTCGCTTAATATCAAACATATAAATATCTATTCATTTCAATAAGAAAAACAAACAACGATATTGCTAGTTATTGAGAAAAATGGCGAACAGTCATCGATCGAATTTTTTTTTAGTACGGACTAGTATACATTGATATGCTACGAATTTATTCAATATATAAGCGTTTGATTTTTATTTCTAGTAACTCATTTGATTAGTTTAGGAAAGTTCAATTCTGTTGATGAAAAGTATCTGCGATTTAAATGTGAAAGACAATTGAATGGCTCTAAATGAATACTGTTATACTGCAAGACTTCTTTGAGATTATGTTTATGATTTAGCAAAATTCTCTAAACGTGTAAACTAGTTGTAGTAAAAGTGAAATTGCTCACTGTTCCATTCAAAAACAAGCTTAGTCTCGGTCTGTATCCGGGGTCGATGCATGCCTTTTCATTAGTTTTATTATCTTACTTCTTTTTGTAAAACTTGTACAACAGCTTGATTGGATTCAGAACGTGTCAATCGTGCTGTTTTAAGTTGTTCAACTGTCATTGGCGTTCGAGGATCCATACCTAATTTCGCTCGTAATTCTTCATTTTCCTCGGTTACTTCATTAACAGTAAGATCTTTTCGATTTGCATATTGTGCTAAGTCTTCCATTTGTCGATCTTTTAATTTTAATTGTTCTTTTAATTGACGTATTTCTTGTACAGCATCTCGTAATTCATAGTCATTATCCAAAAATCTTCTTAATTGCTTATCAAGATCATGCATGCGACTATCACGTTCAGCTAATTCTTTTTCATAATCATTTAATTGTTTTTTTATACGAGTCGTTTCAAGCGCATAAGAACGATTTGTTATTGATGTTGGATCATTAGATGCTTCAATTTTACGAATAAGAAAAATAACATTTTGGTTGGTGATATCTTTCATTTAATTATGAGTTTACCTGTATAATCAGTTCGCATTCGATCGAGAGCATCGGTTTGTTTAATTATATCATTGGTTGCTTCTTCAACTTTTTTCTTTAACATTAATATTTGTTGATCTTTTTCAGCAAGCGTCTAAGATTTGTTTCAATTACGATGAAATTTAATAAAATGAAGAAATATTTTTATTTACTTTATTTAAAGCAGATACATCGCCTTTTTGATCTTGAACGGAGTACATTTGTAATTTATCATGTAAATTAACTACTTTTCGTTTGAGATCATCTATTTCATCATCTTTTGCTTTAAAAACGTCCTGAAGAAAATAGATTTCTCGATGGATTAATTATAATAAAAATCAAAAGGAAACATACTTTCCATTGTTTTACACGTTCTTCAACAGCTTTCATAATGATGTCATCATCATCAGCCGAATCGTGGGGCATTTGGCTTTCCAATAGATTAATTCTATTTTTGAATTCAACATTTTCTTGATCTTTTTCATTGAGAAGTTTCTAAAAAGAAAATTTACAAATTCCAGGTAATTCCATGTGTTTTCTACAAAAATTTATTCAATGAAAACTACGTCAGCAAAGGTATATTTTGGAAAAAAATGCGAGATTTCGTTTTTCAATTGTTTCCAAAATATAAATTATTAAAAAAATATGAATAGGGGACTTGCTGATCATACTCTGACTTGAACATTCATAATTATATAGATTTTAGAACATTTTTATCTCATAGAAAAAAAATATCTAGCTCTTTAATGTGTAGATTCTGCGAACTAAATATTTTCGATTTTTATAGTCGATATAAAAAACGTTCTGTGGACTTGTCCAGTCATAGCTAATCATATTCAAAAAATAGCATAAATTAAATATCGAACAACATCAGGAAATTACACTAAGCTAAAACCGCGTCTTCTTGATTGCGGACGTTTTTTCTTAATTGTTGGAAAAAAACGTCCGCAAAGTAGAAACAGGGGGGGAGAGACAAAAATAGCCGCAGAGTGGAAAATGTCCGCAAAGCAGAATCGGGGGGGGGGGGGGGGGGGGGGGGGAAATCGGGNAAGCAGAATCGGGGGGGAGGAGAGAAAAAATGTCCGCATTATGGAATCAAACGAAAATTGATATTTTAAGATGATTCACGCAAATAGCTGAATTGAATAATATCAACTATTTCGAGCTAGTCTAGTGTTGTTCATCACATGTCATCCAGGCCATTTTATAAGCATGTATTGTGAAAGAAAAACATTTAAAGTGACGAAGTTAAACCTACATGAATCAAATAAAAATGTCCATCGTGAAAAATGATAGTTTTTCTCCAATTTCCACGCAATCTAATAAAGATGGTATAGCTTTTAAAAATTATCATTTTGGAATTTATTTGACCTCATTGGAAGTCGACCAAGAACCAACAACCACGTAGAGGGTTTTCATGGTCAATTAAATTCTCATTGTCAAACACACCCAAATCTGTGGGCCTGGATAAGATATATCCAGGAATCAGAAGAATCGATAATGGTTCGTGTTGAGCAAGAAGAAGCTCAACAACGAACAACACGTCCTAGGAGAATCAGGTCAGTGAGAAATGATAATATTTTAATTCAAGCCAAGGAAGAATATTTAAATGGTTCCTTGGATCTCGGTGGTTATCAAAGGAGATTACGACCGACTTTTTATCGCTACATCAAGTTATTCGATACAACTGATAAGGATGATCTTGATTATCAACCGAACAGTTAGATGTTCAACTATTCATAAATGATTTTTCTGTATTTTTTTTTCACCTAATAAATCTTGTCTTGATTCTATAATGCGGACATTTTTGTCTCTCCCCCCCTGTTTCTACTTTGCGGACGTTTTTTCTTAATTGGAGGAAAAAAATGTCCGCAATCAAGCTGTAGCCGCTAAAACGTCTTATCATCTATTTGAATAAATTGAGAATGATAATATTTTATGACACGATAGACAAAATAGTGAAAGATTTTTCGGAAATGTAAAATACCAAATCAAACCTAAATATTAATTGTTTTCTACATACTTTATTTCTTGCGTATTCATTTGATAATTCATTAATCTGACGATCGGCTTCTACTTTGTCTTTTTGAAGAACGATAAATTTTGCATTCAATTTTTGATTTTCATCATATAATTGCTGAAATGAACATTTTTTTGTTTTAGTAATAAGTAAACCAAAGTAAATGAACTAACCTGATTTTCAGTCAAAGCTCCATCAAGTTCTTTTTCCAACACTCGAACACGTGATGTTCGCTCGCCATCGTCAGGTTTCATTCGACTGGGATCACGTAATTCTCCCATACGTTTTTGTAAATCTTCATTTACTTTTTTCAAGTTCTCTTTCTAGAAGAAAATAATCGAAAAACAGTGAGTAAAAGAAAATGAATTGTTTTCTTTTTCGAAACCTCATTTTGTAATTCTCGAACTCGAGCTTCGCATCTCTTTAGTTCATCACGAACTTGTCCTGCTTCACCTAATTTATCTTCATAAGATCTTCGATAATATTCTACTTCTTCTCTTAGTTGATTGAGTGCATTTGATACGACAGTATCGCCCTGAAACAATAAAATTTTAATGGACTAAAAGAAGAAAAAATTGATTATTTACACTAGCAGCACCAGCAAGTGACTTGTCTTTCAATTTGTCATCTGTAAAACCAATAAGTAAATAAATAAATAAAGTTTTCAACGAAAGTTATTTACTTTCTTGTGCAAGCGATATTAATTTATCCCAACATCCTTCTTTTTGTGCTCGGTAAAACTACAAGTGATAGAAAAATCCAAATTTTTCTTCCGATGAAAACAAAGACGTTTGCTTCAATTTTTTTACTTTAGCCAATCGTTGACCAAGACGCAGTGCAACTCGTAAATCATCACTATTATCAATTTCACCTGGATTAAGCTAGAAATGTGTTTTTATTAAAACCAGTTTTAAAAGTGAAATATATATATATATATAGTTGAGTTAACTCTTACATTTATAAATGATACGCCAAGGTTGTCGTTTCGGTCATCATCTGCCTCATTGTCGGCATCGATTTCGTTCGGATTAACTTTCAGCAAAGCTTTCCAATCGGTCAATGGTGCAGCCATATTACAATCTGTAATAGTAAACAAAACAGCTAAAATTATTGTTCTAAGTTTAATAATGTTGATTTCATATTAAGTACAAGAAAGGGACTATCATTAACAAATTTTTGTTTCCATTCTTTAAATATATACAAAAAGTTATATTTAGAAAATAATCGACGATTTTCTGTTAATTCTGAGAGTTTTTCAAATAAAATTCCTAGTTTTTCCATGGTTTTCAAATCAAATGTTGGTGTCAGTAGAATTTGTATATTGCTTAAATTGGTTGATGAACCAAGACCATCATTGCATTGTTGTGTTAATTGATAAAGTAAATGAAACCATGTATCATTACTTAATTGTTTAAGAAATGGGCGAAGTGATTTTGAATCAGTACAAAGAAGTAAAAGTAAATCGATTGTATCAAATATTACTAAAATAAATAAATAAACAGAGTGTGTACTCACTAATGTACTTTTTAAGGGTGAGTAAAAAATATATATATTTTTAGATTTTAATGGTTCTGATTTAATCTCTGGAATTTTGATTCTTTTCGTTCAAATCGATCGTCGAACAGGACTTCTGGCTCGAACTTAGATTCCTTTCATTAACGTCCAAAAAAAAATGAAACTGGAAATCATCATTATTGTTTATGGAATTTATGTCCAAGTAAAAAGTGAAGTACAAAAGAGAACTGTTAAATAGTACAACTCTCCTCCAGTTTTAACTAATCGATGTTTGTAAAATACATTGACATAGTTAGGACTCATTATTTCACCCGTGTCTAACACTCATATCTAGAACAGTAGGAATCATAGAAATAAAAGCTTTTTTTCCACAATAAATAAGAGATTTTTCGAATACAACCGATAGTTTGACATTCTATTGTTATTGCTTAAATTGTGTAAACGAATTTTATTGTAAGAAACCTCCTCACTCAAGTAGTTAAGTCAGAATTCAACAGAAAGCACAAGAGTCACGATAAAACAAGATTTGAACTAACGATATGCTTTAGTGTAAAATCAGAGGTGTTTTCAATTGAAGTTATTTCTCGATAAAACAATATATTTAACAAGAATATCCTTAGAGTTCACTTTTTATGATTAGATGTTCAATTATCTAAATAAAAGTAACGAAAAAGTACGTCGAAAACTTTCTTTTTCTAAATTATCATCAATTAAATATAAAACTATACTCAATATATTAGTCTAACTAAAATTTGTGTGCAACAGACTTTGATTTGCAAAAGTTGCTCATACTATTTAAAAAGAAATCATATGTCTAATGTGCCGTCGAATATTTCAATACGACAAAAAAAATATATTAATCAATATTTTAAATGAAACTTTTATTCCTCCACCTTTGAAATCTATCCTTAAAGTCGTAATTGATTCTTACATCGTTTGTGATGCGATGGTGGCCTCAACCATCGATAAAGTGAAACAATACCATAATTTTTAACAAACATATCAATGAATGGTTTAGAATTAAGATCTAATCGAAGTTGATTGTAGCATGCAATAAGATCGATTATTTTATTACATGTCAGTAAAACTATCAGACAAGCATAAAGTCGAATTAATGGTTCATTATCATCGAAAAGATGTGGACGTTCCTTTGAAGAGAAAAATAAATAGGTTTTAAAGTAGAAAAATTGATTTTCAGGTTTTTGCAACAAACTTGATTTTTTTCACATTTAAGAATTTGTTCACATAGTCGCCGATATGAACATGAATATAGATGCCGTGTCTGTCCACTTGTTGTTGGACATTCAATAGTTATTAATGAAAAATAAACTAATTTCAGATAGGAAAGTATTAAATTGGAGTGATTTTTATGCAAACAAAACGAAGATTGATCAGCTAGAATACTTAATAATTTGGAATATCGTTCTATGGTATCGGATGTTATTGCTGTAGAAGATGGCCATTCAGTTAATGTTGTTTGAGTTATATCAGATAACCAATTAAATAAGAAAATTAAAGAATCTGTTGAAGCAATACTGGGCGTTTTTGATATTGTAGTAGCTAGAAAAAGAGATCGACGTAGATGAGAAAATAGTACATGAATTTTTTCAAAAGAAATTCTTACGAGAGCTTGCCGACGAGTGATGTTCATAGCAACGTTCACCATCCGATGTATTTCGGCAACAACTAGTATTCTCAGTTATTTTTGTAGGTTCTTCATTGTGACTTGCTATAGGTGGTTTTTTATTGATTTCAATAGTTTTTTCTAATTCTTTAATTTTTTGTTCTGAAATTTGATTTAATCGTATTAAATTTTCGGAACGTTTTTCTGCTTGTTTTGTTTTTTCTACTAACTTTTCATTTGTTTCACGTAAATCATTTAAATTACGTTTTAATTCACTATTTTGTTCACGTAATAACTGTAAAGTTTCATTTGTTCGTTTGAAATCTTTTGTCATTTGGCTTAATTTTTCCTTGTATACATTTATTTCTGTATCAAATTTTTCTTTATGTGCTTGCCAGCCATGTTCAATAGTTTCACGCATACGTTCTTCCCATTGATTTAATAAATCAGATTTCTTTTTTAAACGCTCATTTTCTTGTGCTAAACGTTTACGAATTAATGCGAGTTCACTATAAACTGCTTGAACATTTGATGCTAAATAACGAGGTGATGCTAAGGTTGTATCAATATCACCATCGGCATTTTCTGGTGACGAACTAAACAGAGTTTTGATCTCATCATCAGATGATTGTTCATCGCCTGATCTCAGAGAAGAAAGAATAGTTTGATTTAAATCTGTATAATTCGTCATATTTGATTAAAATGAACAAGTCGATGAGAACTTATTGCGTCGATATGGTAACGACAAGGATTCCATTTCAACGATTATGAATGGTTTGCTAAAACTCCAATGATAAAAAAGATGCTTTCTCTTATTTTTTATCAATGAAAAATGTTTTTTTTCAATGCACGAAAGTAGAAAATTTTCTATCTGTTAAGAAAGTTTTATCATCATTTTGGCAAGTACAGCACAGTTCGGGTAAAATATGGATTCTCGTTATTGTTTGTTTATAACCGTTCGTTCTTCTCGTACTTATTCATAACCTACTTCTAAATCACAGAAGAAGAGTCGAGATGTTTTTTTTTTGAATATTTTCCGATGAATATTTCATATAGCTTTCGAAGAAAATAATATTACAATGAACAAATATTTACTATAATATCATCAGCATGATTCATTAGCAAAATATCAGTATTATTTGTCGGCATGAAGTATCCCGTCACTGCACTGATCATGGACTTTTCATGACATATAAGTCTTCGAATTGTAGACTAAGTTTTTTGTATGATTGCAAAATTAAAATAATGGCCTATTTTAACAACCAATAGCAATAACCAAATAAGGATTGTTCCGTTTTAGACTCAACATTCAGGTTTGATGTGTTATATAATATTATTTCCTGACATGATCGAGAACTTACATGGCTTTGATTTGCTTCGCATTCAAATCACTTCTTCCGTGTAATTATTGGATTTTCTTCTGCTTGATTTTAGATCTGTTTATCATGGTCTTAAATGTGCATATCAACATATTTTTCTTGATCTCGTTTGTCTGTCAATTGTATTGAATGCATTCAGTTCAGTTGCACGACTAAAATCAGATAAAAACAGTAGTATCAATGAACATTTGGAATGAGATAAATTAAAATAAGTCAGATAAAAAGAATCATTTCTGATAAAGGAACATGAGCATCAATTTATTTGGCCAAGTTTATTCCAAAAGTTTCATCAATATAAATCTATTGTTTTTTGATAGTTCTCATTAGTCAGCATTATTATCATTGAGTTTATCAGTTGCATTGGGTATTTTAACATTCATAGTAGGCTTTCTCATTTGATAAATTACTACAATACAACTACGAATTTTTTTTACAAAAAAAGTGAGCAGTATTAATGATCATGAAGCGATTCATACCGGTCATCTAGTATATACTGGTACACTTCTTGAATTAACTGATGATGCTCTTTTTTTTTACAGTCATTTTATTTTATCATGGTTTCTTTTATTAGCTTATCTGATTGTTATACTTTAATGAATCGAACAAACAGAAAAGATATTAATTGAAACATTTGGAATAAAATATTAAGATTATGAATCGAACTGTGATGTTTTTATCGAGATTTTATTAGCAACTATTTGATACGATAGATTTAAAATGAAAATATTTACTTGAGCAGTTATTTATCGTTTTTATTAATTTTTCTTGTTGAAAATAGTAATGATTCAGCTTAGATAAATATTATTTATTTTAGATATAAATAATAATTTAATGCTTGAATTTACGCTTAAGTTTTTGAGTGGTGACAGTCGAAAGTATGAAGTCGATGAATCGGTACGAAATTTAATTTAATTCTAATTATTTTTACGATTTAATTATTGTTTCTTTTCTACTAGACAAATGTACGTCAATTTAAAGAACGTTTACGTGATGAACTGAGTATCCCTATCGAACGACAACGTTTGATTTTTCAAGGCAAAGTTTTACAAGATGAAACAAAACTTATCGATAGCAGTGAGATGAAAATTTTTCGTAGTATTTAATTTTATTCAAAATATATTTATCTTAGATATTCAAAATAAAACGTTACATTTTGTTGAACGTGCCGAGCCCATACCACCGCCAGGTCCTAATCATGGATCTGGTAATACAATTAATAATATGGATACTCGCACCCATGATGGTGGAATAAATCAAGCAATGTTGGATGAAGTGAACGAAACAACAAGTATTTTCATTAATGCTTTTCCGGGTGCCGCAAATTTACAACCAAATGATATTCAAGTGAGTTAAACATGTGTTTTATTCTATTTATTAAATTTTTTTTTATGTATCTAGAGTTTAGTACAAAATTTACTTAATGATCTTGGCGATGTTGGACGACAAGCCCAAGTCAACACAACAATGGCTGTAAGAAAAAAAAAGATTATTCTTGAAATTATTGAATCGTTTCTTTTGTTTGTTTAGTCGGATGGACATGGAGTTGACATAAATATTGATTTTGGCAATATACATCAACTTGTAGAACAACAAGAAATCAATGAACGTTTTCGTTCTATTGGACGAATGTTAACCCGACTTAAACTTCGTATTGATCGTATCGAAGTAAGAGAATTATGCATGACGTTTGTCAAATAACACTGAAGCCTTTTGACACTTATAGCAAATTGTGCAATCAAATTTCCGTCTCTCACCTACTGCATCTCCATCAGCCTCTGACCAAACAATAAGTCCACCGCTTACAGCTGTTGCAACAGCACCAGCAGCAGCAACAACGACAACGACAACAACAACAGCAACAACAACAACCACAACAACAACAGTAACAAGAACAGCGACACCACCACCTTCAACAACATCGTCAACTACATTTCTTGGCATGGAAGATATAACATCAAGTGAAATGGACGTAGAATCGCAAGGTTCTATTAACTCAGCTGAAACACTTCATACGCCACCAACCAGTGCAGGTACTACTTCTGTTGATAATTCTTCATCACCATCAACGACAACGACTCATAATTCGTCTGTAATAACACCGTAAGAATATATATTATTGAGATATTTTTAGCTAATTAATAAAAATCAAATTTTAGACGAACAGCTCGTGATTTAACTGAATTAATGAATACAATCGACATTGAACAACGTCGATTACAAGAATATTATCAAACATATATACGTACTATAACACAAAGCGATGCTTTTGTAAGTAATTTACTATTAAGAATTGTTTTGTAATCATTTAAAAATACATATATCTTGTTTAGGATCAGGAATTGGCCGGTCGTCAACGTTTTTACTCTCTATATAATGAAGCAACACATCTTATATCTCATATATATCATAATATAACTGATTTTACTCTTGATCTTAATGATCCAGTTGAGTCGCGCTTATTACATTTGGGTGAATTACCTATTTCTCAAGCTGGCCTTGCTTCGGTTGCTCAAAATGGTTCTGGTCAAGACGCAGCAACAAGAATCATACCACGTCCTTCCCGATCGATTGGTCGACGAGTATGCAAATTTATTATTTCAAGATAAACACATCAAATATGAAAATTTTTAGCCCACAGGTATGGCAGCTGCTCGTGTCATGGGTCCAATACAAATATCTGCTGGAACTAATCCAGGTTTGGTACCAGGTGAAGTTCGAATGCCAATTCAAAATCCAATGGGTGCTATGCCTCGCATGGTTCGTTGGATATTTTTTGCCTTGTTTCTTTCATTGTATTGAATATTGCTGTTTAGGTATTTAATGCTAATCCACGACCAACATATGCCATGCGTCCTCCTATGCCATTAACAGCCAATAATGGTGGAATGCAACAATCAATGCGTTTTAATTTAGGTACATTGCCATATACATTCATGCAAATGGGTCCAGAAGGAATAACTTTAAATCAAGTTTCAGCATCAGTCGTCGCAGATGTACAAACAGCTAACTCATCATCACAACAACAGTCGTCAACAAATCGACCAACATTAAGTATGTCATTTAATTTAAAAATAAATGAAATAATTCGTTCAAATTATTTAAATAAAAACGAAATTAATTTTCTACTTTAGATAATATGCCACAAGGTGCAACACATGTCATTTCGAGTGGTCCTATTCAGATAAATGGTAATCAATTAGATAGTAATCTTGCAGCTGAAATTGCACAACGTGTATCCAATAGTTTTCAACGTTCGTATTAGTTTATTTTTATAGAATCTTTAAGAAAAAATGAATTATTTTTCTTTTTCTCTCCGCTGATTTTCTAGAACATTTTGCTCAGATGGCTCATCAACAAACACCCAATAGCATAAATATGAATAATCCAACAAGCAATAACAATAATGAAATGAATTTAGCAGATTCAATTCTACGTTCAACATTTGTTCTTCAACCTGATGCATCATCATCAATTCGTAATAATGAAACATTACGATCGCGTTCAGCTGATTCGCGACCACCAAATACTAATCCAGCAACATCAACCACGACATCAAGTATTGAAGATGATGACTCGGATTGGATTGATCTACCACCAATGGATCTTCCAGTTCCACCACAACAACCTTCGAATGCACCTGTACTTCCAATACCTCGTCTTCGAGGACCAGCTATTATACGTAAGCTGTTTGAAAAATAGAAAAAAGAAAACTAATTCAGAAAGTTTCCTTTTTTTCATCTTAGAATCGATTGATCGAAGTTTACCATGTGCATCACCTTATTTCACTCAAACACTTCGTCCACCATTTGATAATCCAAACAATGCATCCAATTTAACACCAGAAGAAGCGGCAGCATTACAGAATGCTTCTAGTCGCGCTGTTATCTTTGCAACAGCTCCTCAACGCCAACGCGGTCGTCATCGTCATCCAGCTGGACCATGGGCACAACTTAATCAGCAGCAACTACAACTGCAACAACAATTACAACAACAATTACAACAACAGCAGCAACAACAAATGCAGAATTTTATGTTGGCATCAGCTGGTGCTCCAACAGGTGCAACAGTTCTTACGCCTGCTGGTCATGCTTATAATATGACAGCACATTCATTTGAAATTCCAATGGTTATTTCAACAACAACAACGACAGCAGCTGAAGTACCACAACAGACAGCATCTAATGATAATTCTCAACAGCCATCAGCAGAAAATGATGGACAACAAACACAAATGGTATAAAAAGAAATCTTTACATATGTTTCATCTGATTAATTTCTTCGTCTTCTTCTTCTTCTTCTTTCTTGATTAGAATACAATTATTAGTCAAGTTCTTTCACAAATTTTACCTGGTGTTCTAAGAACTGGCAATGGACGAGTTCGATGTATTTAAAATAATTTTTGTTTTCAATCTTCGATTAAAGAATTTTTTATTTAGTGAATATTGGTCAAAATAGTCCCAGTAATAATAACAATAATTCGACGTCACCGACGACACCATCCCAAGCCAGTGGAACAAATACAACACAATCGGCAATGCCAACAGCTACTAGTATTCCTGGTGTAACTGCGGGTAATTTAGATTTCTCAAATATTGCTCGATCAATTGGCAGTATGGTACAAGGAATAACTGGACGACTTATTCCAGGAGCAACATTAATTTCTCCTAATTTTACAATACCTAATCCAATGGCAACTGGCTCTTTCTCCTCATCGTCAACAACAACAACAACAACGACCACAGCATCAAATACTAACTCATCGTCACAGAATAGCAATAATACGACAAGTACAACACCCCTCAATAGTGAAAATGATGCTGTTACTGAACAGATGCTTACAGGTATAATTATTTTTCTTTTTTAAACACAAAATGATCTCTTATAATCTTATTGTTATTTAATAGAACTTTTACGTTTATTGGGTGGTGGCCTTGAGAATCCAGAATTAGAGAATCTAACTATTGGTTCATTTATGCAGCGTTTTGGTGAAGATATTGAGACTCGATCAAATGATGGTTAAATAATTCAATCAAATAAATGATTGAGAGAAATCTTTTTTCTTTTATTTAGGTACCAATCTTATTAGCGAACTATTTTCTACAATGACATCACGTATGCATTTTACTGATGTCTGGAACCTTGTTTTGGGTAATCCAGTTGGACTGCGTATTAATGAAGCACGCCGATCAGCAACTGAATATCTACAGTAAGCTTATACGATTGTTATTCATTTTATTGTATTTATACTATTTAAATAGGAATACTGTACTTCAAGGACGACCTATAACACCAGAAACACTTGATGAACTAACCGATAAGCTTTATGAATCACTTTTACAAGAAGCTGCTGTAAATTTTGTATGTTTTTCTATTCCTTAAAATTGTTTATCTATAATAAACAAAACTATACCCTTTTAGAATGACCTTCGAGTTAAACCAAATATTAATGTAGCTAATGTAATGAAACGTTTCTTTCGTCATCATGCTCGTAAATTATTAAATATTTTATTTGATGATCGTAAGTTGAATGGATGTATAAAATAAACTATAGATTTCTATTCTTTTCGTTCATTTTTTTTCTAGCAAATAATGTTTGGTTTGATCATTTCCGACAACAATTAATTTCAATGCGTAATGAATATTTAACACTATCATCAAGATGTCTTGAAGGTGGAGAAACAGCTGTGATAGATTTTATTCTAAATCGACATGTAAGAATAAATAATATAGAAATTGAACTAGTAGAAAAATTTTCTTCTATCTAGCGAATCATTTTTCGTTCATCCAATTCAATGATTGTAACATGGTCTGAAACTTATCTTCGTACATCTTTAGCAAATGCATTCAATGCAGTTCGTACATCACCACCAAATGTATCAAGCTATTTAATAGAACCTACACCCGTTGTTGAACGTACTGTAAATGTTACACCATCAGCAACAACACAACTGAGTAGTATAATCAATAAAAAGGAATATGGACGCGAAGCAGCAACACCAACTGCTACAACGTCATCAAATTCATCATGGACAGCAAATTTACCCCAAGTTCGTATTGTTTTATTTTCTAGAAGATTAAAATCTATTCTATTTTCAATTTAGGATTGGATTCCAATTGTTGTTCGCGATGTGAATAGTCAACAGAACACACCAGCACAGCCACCATTTAGTGATGCTTATAAAGAAGGTATGCCACCTAAAAGACGTCGTGTTCATATGCGTGAAGATTTAACTTCATCAAATTTATTGCAAACACTTGTTTTACGTGCATCATCAACAAGCTCATCAAATAATCAGTTTACAAATGTAACAACACCGACACCAGAAAGTGTTCTAGCTGACGAAGCAGCTTCATCAACACTTGTTAATACGTTCGAACAAGAACTTAAACGCTTATTAGAACAACGCTTAAGACAAGATCGTGATTACCCGGAAGTAAAAAATCGTATGCCGAATACAAAACGATATTTAGATGGTGACAAATGATAAATTATGTTTCTTTTTATTTATCCGTGTACAGCCTTATCATCAACAAGAAACAAAACAAAACAGAAATAACATTACACAAATACTTTCTATTTATTATAACACTTATTAAAAAAAAAAAAAGAATTTTTGTTTCGCTTTTCTCTTTTCATTTCTTTTTTTCATATCGTGAAACATTGAAAGATGATGTATGGTCGCATGGAAGCTAACGATTTGTGTATTTGTATGCATGCATGCGATTTGCTTGGCTAAAAATTAAGCAGTCAATACTGAATCTGTTCGTTTATTTCTCTTCGGTTTTATTTTATTGAAAAACCGTAAATAGATTGTGTATGACTAAATAAATATGCGCGCACCACAATTAAATGATTGAATTTTTTTAAAAACAATATTCTCTTATTATTTCAGACCAACGACAAATCATATAAAACAAAATCAAGATGCTCGAGTCAGTGAGTCACGCATTCGAAATGCTTGGCGATCAAGTATGGTTCTTTCGATTTATTATTGTTATTAGTGTTATATGTGTATATCGTACACTCTTAAATTATGTTCTAAGTTCAAATAATTGTGCTAATCCATTTTGTTCGAAATGTTTAAATTCAAATTCAGTACGCGGTCGTGCAATTAATAAAATAAAATATGATGGCGATGAAGAAAATTCATTGAACTCAATAATACATAATAATTTATTCCAACATGATCGATTATGTCAGAAAAATGATGAGAAACCAACCGTTTATTTTCATCGTGGCTTAGGTAGCAATGCAGCTAAATTAGCCGACCAACAAATACTTATTGAACATTATGATGAACTTCGTCAAGAGATTGTTAAATTCTTTCAGGATAATGGTGAAGTTCAGTGGAATCATTTCTATCTATATAAAAGTGGCGAAGAAAACAAAGCTAATTGTGAAAAATTACCAAAATTATTTGAAGTTCTACATTCATTGCCTAATGCTATTTGTATTAATAATAATTATTGCCTTTTTGGAAATTGTTTTCTTACACGATTAGTAACAAATAACAGTGGAGAGGAGAAAAGTCAAAATGGTTTCACAAATTGTTCCATTCGAATGCATTTTGGTTTGATGTGTGATGATCAATCATCAGCATACGTTCTTATTAATAAACGACGACGTCTACCAATTGAAAATAAAGTTACTACTTTATACAACGGTGCACTTGAACATTCCATTCAAAATCCAAATAGCAAGCAACAAGTTTTTCTGACGATTGACTTTTGGCATCCAGATTTATCGCCTGATATGCGCAAACAACTAGCATATATTTTTCGCGCCGACGTATAAGAAGAAAATAAAATATTAAATGCAATATTGAATATTTTCTGTTTCCTTTAATGTTTAGTCTAATTTTTATGAAACTCAGAATTAGTCTGATAGACTGTTCTACCCTAACTCAAAATTTTTGTCAATTTTTATATTTTGCTTATAATTAGAAAATAAAAATATTAATAAAAAGATCTGCTTCCCAACGAGAAAGGTTTTGATTCGGCAATTTTTATTTCTAGTCGAATGTACAATTTGTGTTGGACCAATGTTTAACATTGGTAAAGTTTGTGAAAAACATGATAAAAAAAATTATTAATTGTCAGTTTTTCTCTAGTTGTTGAAATTGCCATATGTGCCATTTTGGGAATTGGTATAATAGTAGTGTTAATATTATGTAACAGGTATATATTTGATACGCATCGATTTTTCCGGGTTCTAAACAGAAATTATAGAAACATTTATAGAGCTTATCAAAGAAATTCAAATAGTGATGAACGAGAAAAAATTGAATTTTTATCAACATCGACGAATGAAGACTTTTTGATACAGAATGCACTCATTACATATTATGAACAACAACGTAATGAGTTGATAGAACGACAGAAGTAAGTATTGATTTTAATAATCTGTTAGTGAAACTGTTTATTCTAACAAAAAAAAAATACAACACGAGTAGGTCATCATATTTCAGAACTTTATCTGTAGATACATAAGAACTATGGATTTACTTGAAAATTAATGTGAGCATGATTGAAAATGTCGGTGATAAAAGTGTGTTGAAATTATTTTCGTCACATAGAATTCTTAGATTTCTTTCTATTCTATCCTTCTTATATGCGTAGAATGATTTTGGATGATTCAAAGTTCGATACAATTGTTCTGAAAAATAATTATTCACATTATACAGCAATATCTTCACAAACTCATACTCCACAATCTCTCTACGAATATAGCGGTTTTGCTTCTGTAAGTATTTTTATTTATTAAATTGTAATATTAGTAATTTTTATTGTTATCATGACCAATTGTGTTTCCAGTTAGATAATCTTGAAATATCAAATCCACTGTTTTCAACGGACACATACTGTGATAATGATCAGTTGTCGCTCACCATACCATTGATAACACCATAGTTTCTTTTCTTTTTTTTTAATATGTTTATTGATTTTTTTGTGTTTTCTTTTGATTAAATCTGATATTACTATTATTATGATATTTTTTCTTGTTTCTATAACATGATTCACAGCATGAAAAACACTAAAAGTACCGATAAGAAGCTAAAATAAATTGATAATCACATACTTTTTAGAATTTACAGTAGTAAATCATACATGTGAAAGTTATACGTGCAGTGGGTTTGTGGCTACAACTACAACTGAGCGACAATTATATAAATATCGGTCCCTCAACCTCACCCTTAAATTTGGCACCAACAGTCTCTAAGCACACTCATCTACATCGTATTTACTTAAAATATTAAACTTTGTTTATATTAGCATTAACTAATTAGAAATAGATGACTGAAAACTATGATATTGATTCTCATTATATTTACACAATTTATGTTCGGTAATAAAACTGAAGGAAACCAGGCTATACAAGAAACCACAATAGTCTATAATTATTTTATTACGTAACATAAACGAAGTCTCTGTAACCTTGAAATTTAATCAATTATTTTTTGGTTTTAACTTTGCGTAGTAATTATCACATATTCGGAAATATAGTAGCTATGTCTTTTTCGCTATGTGGATGTATCTCTAAGTTTTGACACTACTGATAAATTTATGCATTGAATATAGTAGTAATAGGGCATAAGTGAATTTCGATTTCAAACTATGGTTGAAATTTTATTTTTATTTTTCTATCCAAGTTACTTCTCATAAATTGATGCCAGTAACATTTTTTCATACTTTATTAGTATTGGTGAGGGTGTAGCTTCATCGAAACCGGTACACACACACGCTCTAGGTTAAACTTGAAATAAGGATGTTGATATGTAAGTCTTTTTCTTTGTCAAGTTGACGAAGAAAACATCAGACAAATACTTTCTATTGTACGTTGTTCCTCGTTTAGTCTTTAGTTCTTGTGAATGCGAGTGTTCTAGCATGTTCTGATGATGACTATTTTAGAGGAACAAATTAACATTGGCGTCATCTCTGCCAAGATTTTATGTTTCATATGTTATTTCTCGATTTTTTGATTGGCCGTTTTCAATACACTAGTTAAGAGAAATGTTTCTTTTATTTTTATTATCTTATTCTTTAATCTTGCAGAATAAAAAAAGTGCATCATTATCATAGGTTTTTAGTGCAATATTACGCGTGATTTTCAACAAAAGAATCAATTCGTATCTCTTGTGTGGATCGTAGCTGGCTCTGAAATCGTTGGACATTAATATGACGGCAACTGAAGCTACATTAGAAAGTGATAATGCCGTAGAATTATTTACAAAACTTTTCGAGAACAAACACAAACTGGGTAATGCAAACAGTTTGGCCAGTAATGAGAAATTACAACAGATGGCAGGTCGTGTCACTCGAGGTTCGAAAGAAAAAGATTTTGAACATCTGCAACTACATGGACCTGCTGTCAAAAAATTTGCTTGGACTATGGGTGGCGATGGCTTATCTGTGTTTCTCGAAAAGTCAAACTTGGATGCACTCCGTTCTCTTGGCTGCGAGGACAAATGGATTCGAAAGAAACTAGAAGATGGTGAACACTTTCGACTAGGAGTATTCTACATGTCGCCTGATTGCGTTTCAGCTACATGGGAAGGAGTACTATCATTAATCGATAAACACTACCCGAAGTCTATTTCGACCAAAATTCATCGACATGCTGACTCATTAAAGCAAATGAGTTTCGATGAGATTGAGGCGCGTGCTCGATTATCATTTCTTCGTGGTGCATCTTATTTTGAAATCAGTGAATCGTCTGTTGGAGGCTATTCAGCTGATGATCGTTTCATGACCGAAGAGAGATTTTTACAATGTGAAGGTACACTTGAAGAGTCGCGGGGTTTTCTCTACAATAGATTAGGTCTCTCTAAATTATTTGATGGAAGCGGGCTAACCAAGGATTCGAATGGACAATTGTGTGTACCAGAATATTTACAATTGAACATACCTGTTCGAGACATACCAGGGTTTCACTATTTGGATTTACCTATCGATATGGCTGATATCATGCCTAACGCTTGACTTCAATCGTTGTAAAATTTGATGCTGTTCTACTACTATTCGAAATCGTATATTTTATTTATTCATCGTTATTATGGTAGGCAGTAAAAACTGGATAGCCTTTCAATTTTCTTGATAATTTAACTGTAAAAATTATTTACTCCAGTTATTTAAAATAATTTTCTATCTTGGTATTCTTAAAATTTCTATGTACAAGAAAAAACTCTTCTAAGGTTTTCGGCTCATCCGAGGACCAAACAGTGTATCATAATTTATTCTCTAAGTACCGATCTCAGAAACTGATGAAAAAGTTTCCGAGATTTTCATTATTTTGTTGTGAAAGACGAACCAACATCGTAACGGAGATAGTTGTTGAATTACTCTATTTATAACGTACTTATCTAGTGATGTTTATTCAACCTAGAAAGACCATATCAACTGATTAGTTTCATATTGGAGAATAACGTATACATATTTCAATATGTCATTCACAAAGGAAGAATAAACAAAGAATTGAATTGAATTAACACAATAGATCTCATGATTTGAATGACTTACGAGTTCATATTCAACAAAAATGTATTAAAAAAGCATCTTATTAAATTCGAAATACTATTTTTATCGACTACTATTGAAAAATTTGTCAAATCATATTTGTACAAATAAAAATGTACATGACAAACTGCGATCATTTTAAGTTCACCATAATATATACTAATTGCAAATTGTATCAACACAAATTTCTATTAATTTATAATATAAAAACTATTAGTGCAATTCCTATGAGATTAACATGTGAAGCATGATATAAATCATGCCAGTAATCACACTAATATTGTTCTCTGCGACACATCGCTTGGGATTCATTTACTTATCACTTCTTGTTTAAACCGTTAGAACTGTGATAAGGAAGCAGTCGATATATTTTCATAGAATAGCAGTGACATATATATAA